ACTTAATAATATCCTTTACGTTATTATCGATCTAAGAAGCGGAAGCCTAGTATAAAAGATAACGTTTATAGAAGGCCTTATAATAAGGCGGAATTAGCTTCTAATAAGGAGCTAGGCCGCGTATACTAACGAGACGACGTCGAGAGACGTTTCGTATACTAAATAGCTTATAGCGAGCCTAAGCCTTATCTTTATCTTTATCTAGAGCTAATTTAAGACCGAGCTAGCTTATATAAGATAGCTCCTTCTCTTTCTTATCTATACTACCTATAGGACTAGCTTCTAGAGTAATAGAAGACGTTAAAGAACGAGCGGTAGAGCCGCGGAGGGGAGTTAAAGATAAAGCTATATTAGAAAATAGATATAGCGTAGAGTCGGAAAACGATCGCGTAAGAGAATCCTAATATATAGAGGCTTCTTACTAGCTTCTTCTACGGCACGCGTACGTAAAACGTATAGGCCCGGACTCTATAGAAACGTATCTACCTAATAGAAGAAACTATATCTATTTAACGCCTAAGTACTACTCGTAAAGAAGTAAGAACCTATTATCTAGCTAATAGATATAGATATAACGATACTAGCTACTAAATCTAGCCGTAGACTAAGAATTACGAGTAGTAGTAGTAAACTCTATAAAGATAGATACGCCTAATATAATTACTATAAAGAGATACTAGGGGGGAAGTACGCGCCGCGTATACTATACGTACCCGAAACGTATAAATAATAGTTCTAAAACGCTTAAGCTATATACGAGACTCGCGATTATAAACCTAAAAAGATAAAAGACGAAATAACCGCTATTACGTAGAAAGTAATTACTACTTCCCCTACGTAGAACTAAACTCCTAATAGAGTTCTACTCCCGGATACTTTAAGCCGCGTAACGGCCTAGAGTAGCTAAACTTTCCTACTACTCTAGCGTATAGCGCTATATATCCGACCCGCGTATAATAGTCGTACGCGTTAAGCATACTCCGCGTATCTACTTATAATATAGGTAAAAGCGGATATTCTAAGGAATATAGGCTACGGCTTTCGCGTCTAGGGATTTTCTTAACGACTCTAGCTACGAGCTTTCTTCTTTCTAATAAGAAAGGTTTTCCTCGTAGAAGGTATATAAGGTCCTCGAGTTTTTTTATTCTTTACGGGGTCGTAGTCGACCCCTATAATAGGGGGGGTAGTATAAGGACTTATAGCCGCGTCTCGTATACGCTTCGTATACGAGATCTATAGAAGTTACGTACTAGTTACGTAACTCTCGCTTAGCTATATATAAAAGCCCTTCGGCCTACGGGCGAAGGCCGAATTTCTTAAGAATTCGTCTATTAATTATAAGCTCTCTTCTTATATCTATCTTAAGCTTTCTATTCGTGCCTTATATTTTATAGATATAGGCTACGGCTTCCGCGCCTAGGAATTTTCTTAACGACCCTAGCTACGAGCTTTTTCCTTCCTAATAAGAAAGATTTTCCTCGTAGAAGATATATAAGGTCCTTAAGTTTTTTTATTCTTTACGGGGTCGTAGTCGACCTCTATAGTAGGGGGGGTAATATAAGGACCTATAGCCGCGTCTCGTATACGCTTTATATACGAGACCTATAGAAGTTACGTACTAGCTACGTAACTCTCGCTTAGCTATATATAAAAGCCCTTCGGCCTACGGGCGAAGGCTAAATTCCTTAAGAATTCGTCTATTAATTATAAGCTCTCTTCTTATATCTATCTTAAGCTCTCTATTCGTGCCTTATATCTTATATTTAGCGCCTAAAAATACGCTCTTATTACTAGGTATTTAAAGAGATTAAATAATCGGCTAGTCTCGAAGATAGCTATCGCGGTAAGCTAGTAGAGGCGCTTCTTACTATTACGAATAAGCCGCGATACTACTATATAAGTCTACTAAGAACTCTCTACCGCGATAGAATTTTACGTAGGGCGAGACTCGCCTAGCGCTTAGTTCTCGCGCGGTAATAGGCTCTCTACGGTCTTTATACGATATATCTAATAGTTATTAAGTAGATAAGTCTTAAGCTCGCCTATCTTTATTAACGACCTCGTATAGGTACGATAATATAAATAACGAGTCGTTAGATACTTATATCTTATCTCTTAGTCTAGTAGAAGCTTATATTAGCGTAGAATCTACGCGTTTTAAGGCTAGGGATTAGATATATTATAAAAGAATAGGGTAAATAACGTATAATAGTAGGTAAGAGGACTTAATACTACGATATTTATAGGCGAACGGCACCGAATTTTACGATATCCGCGGGTAGCGGTACTAGTATACGATATTCTATACGGGGGGCTACGCCTAGCTTGGGGGGCGCTTGGCCTACCGTGGCGATTATAAATCCGCTGCCAATTGCCGGCAGAACCGGCAAAAACAGGGGTAGCGGCAGTGCCGGCAGCGATACCCCCTCTGCCGGCAATCTTAACACCCCTAGCGGGAACGAGCAATCGGAAAGGATTCCACCCGCGCCTCGCGCCGTTGTTCCGTCCTTTTTTTTTTCTTTCCCTGCTGACCGCTTTTCTCGACACTTAGTAGGTACGTGCGTATGGTGGTCTTGAGAGAGAAAGAGAGACAGAGAGAGAGAGAGAGCAATCTTGGTACGTTGGCACTGGGGAGGCGCGCGCGGCGCGCGATGGCCACGCTTCCCGGTAGCCCAACCTTGCAAGCTGCTGAAGCTTACGGAGCAACCTCCGTCAGCGCGCTGCATTTGGTCTTGCTTCCATCAGCTCTGGCTTAAGCGACAAGGGATGAGTGATGGGGTGCGTATGCATTCAGCTAGATTGATTGCCGAATCCTGGATGGAGATCAAGAGCTGGAAAGATCGCCGAACACCGGCAGCCTCATGAGATTTGCGCGTGTCGCGACGATCCTGTGTGTGATGAAAGCTGGCCGTGGGGGCTTTTCGGCCGCGCTGCTGCCGGCTGCGGCCTTCGGCTTCTCTCCGTCGTCGAGCTGGCAGCGTTTGCGGGAGCAATGGAGCCGGCCGAAAGCCCTGTGGCCCGGCTGCGGCGGTTGGAGCTACTGCAGCAGCTATGTAGGGCGGAAGCGCCATGGCGTCACCTCCGCAGCCGTTCGCCGGCCCTACCTACCGCCCGCCTGCATGTCAATTGCAAACAAAAAGAAAAGAAAAAAACGGGTGGACTGTGCATGCGGACATGAATTTTTCGCTCCAACGTCTCACGGGCTCCGGGGCTACAGGGCGAAGAGGTGCCGGCGGCGCGCCGAAGGGAAAACTAAAGCGGCCGAGAACGCGTGTGCTCGAGAGGACGAGAGCAACGCGTTTTCCGCCCCGCCTGACGAGTGGCGCGGGCACGGCGGGAGCGGTGGCTTGCACGCCTCCATGGATTGCCGGCGACGCTGTTGCGACTTCGCCAATCTTTCCCTAACCGCACCTGCTCCTGGTGGCTCAAGCCTCGTTGACGACGCTTTGCATGCGTGCCTACAATACGTGCGAAACGCCCCGGGAACAAGGCTGGAGAAAGCCCGCCGATGAGCTGATCTTTGCATAACACGCACAATGTCCACAGCTAAAGACAGCCACTCCAAACTAACGTCGTGAAAAACACAAATGTAGTGCTTGACAGTATCAAACAAAGCGTCTCGAGACGAGGAAAGAGAGAAAAAAAAAATTGAAAGGAATGGGAACCAACACGGACCACCACCCCATGACCCAGACCTAGACCCTGCGGGCCGAGAGAGCAGGAAATCTTTGGGCGGCAGTTGTTCGGCGTCGTTCCCACTGTGTGTATGTACATACTATGGAGAGTGACAGCGTTCGTTCCCCCTATGGCGAGGTGGGAGAGTCTGTGTTCTGGCTGTTGACATGTCCAGCTTTTTCTTTTTCAACTCTGATTACTCTCTAGCCAACCGCCGAGCCGCGCCTGGCTCGCTCCGCCCAGACCTTTTTTTTTTTTTTTCCTTTGACGGAAACGGCTGTACGGTAGCTTTCGGACGAATAGACCCATTGCGTTAGCCTGCCGGCGCCTTGTTTGCGTCCAGGCTGGTAAAGGGCTGAGTGTTGCATTCATATTGTGTAGCTCTCCCGGGAACCACGCGGTCATGCGCTGATAAGCACTTGCAAGGGGCCCGTGTGTCAGAAAAGAATGAAGTGAAGAGGTGCCCAAAGGAATAGGGGGAGGTAGCGAGGCGACGTTAGGCGCGACGTGCTTGGTGGTAAAAGGTAGAGCTAATGCACGCTCGGGTTCAGGGATCTTGCGGGGAAGCGAGGAAGGGAACAGGGAGAGCGCGGAGCGGACGGGAGATTGGCGGAGCGGAGATTTGCTTTTTCGTCCATGGCGACCAAGGCCGACTGAGCGGCTAGGGGCATCGGAATTGTGAAGCGAGCCGCATCCCGTGCTGATGGCCAGAACACGAGGCCAGGAGCTGGGGCAAGCGAGAGGCGGAGCGCATCAAGACGTCAATCACAAGCCCGAAACATGCCTGTTTGCCGAGATGCTTCCTCTGCTCTCGCTTTTCAATTTATTGGATTTGGTATCTAGCGTATCGAGTATGAGCTTTGTTTATGAGCTTTCTGTAAGCTATGGAGCAGGCGGGGTATGAGTAGGTCGTGAGCCGGCCAGCTTGTTGGCTGCACCGATGTCGACCCAATGGTTGAATACATGGAAGCGGATATCCTCACGGTCCCCCTCTTTAGTTGAACATGAGTATGGTCACCCGAAACCGGAAAAACAAGACTATGCAAAACAGACAGCAGAGGCATCTCCAACCCGCTTGGAAACCGAACCCCCACCACGATGAAAGTGAGCCTTGAACACCAGCATCGGGCGGAAGCCCTCCACTTTGTACGAAACTGGGCGACCCCCCCTCATGACCGAAAGAAAGCTCGTGGCGGACCAAACCCTGACGAAATTTGTTTTACGCCTGGACGCCCTGCAGGTAAAAGCAATAGAAGAAGACACATCCAAACTCGTGCTCGCATCTGATGACTTTTGCGATCATTACAACATCAAGGAGACCGTGATCATCCTTGGCTGATGATCACCCTGGCACCTTCCTTCCCCAGCACACCCTTCTCTTTCGCCTTGGGGCTCCTGTCTCTGCCCTTCTTCCGACTCAAAAAGCCGAGCATTCCCGTCGGCTTCTGCGCGTTGGGGTCGTTGATGTCCGGCTTCGGCGTGACCATCGACGAGCTCTGGTTGGCCATCTCTGACCAGCTGCCCGTCTCGCTGAGGACCACCTGCACGCCCCCGCCCATGCTGGTGCTGCGCGTACTGCCCCTTTGCCGATTGATCGGCCTGCTGTACGATACTGGCAGCGTGGGATCAGCCGCAGGGTCGAACGTGTCTTGGGGTTGGCTGGACGTGGGTGCGAGATTGGCCGAAGGAATCGGGGGCGAACCGTTCGGCGACTGAGTCGTAGACCGAGACTGGTTAAGCTGCCGGGAGTGGTGGCCAGGGTTGGTGGTGGTGGGCGTCAGTTGATGACCGTCCTCGCAGCCCCTAGAGGACTTGGGACGTGGCCATTCAGACGATTGTTGCGCTTCCGTCGAAGTGGGTGTGCTCCCATCCGGGTTAATGACCGGTGCGCGCTCCGCCGCCACAGTCGTGTAATTGAACGGTTCGAACAGAGTTTCAATCATCTTGTGCAGCTCCTCAGCACGGATCTCAGCCTCCGTTGCATCTTCTTTCAGAGCCTCGCGAGGCTTTTGTCTCCGTGCCCGTGCTTCGAGCGGTGCCTCCTCCAACAACAGTTCCTCCAAATCATATGTGGCGTCAAAGTTCGTCTTGTCGCTCGACGGCGTGAAGACGGGTTCGATTTCTTTGTGTTCGAGCTCGTAGAAGTCAAGGGGACGGAAGAAGGGGTTGTCGGTGAATGACTCGAAGCTGATGGCACCGATGCGCTTCGACCTGTTCTTTTCGAGCAGCGAACTGATGGCATGCAGACACGGCATAGACACAGGAGGATTGGTGACGGGGTAAGGTACTTCAGCCTTCTGGATCTTCGCCGAGAGTTCGTCGTGCGAGCGAGCTTCAAAGGGCCGCTTCAGAGACTTAGCAAATTTCAAACAGTACCAAATGTCCTGGAAGTGCATACCTTGTTGTAGATGCACTCGTAGAAGAGCACACCCAACGACCACCAGTCGACCTCACACGAATAACCCTTGCCCTCGTATACCTCGGGGGCGAGATACGCCAAGGTTCCCGACTTACTCGTTAGCGGTTTGTTGGGGATGAAATCGGAAGCAACGTTCTGTTCTGTCAGCGCACAAGGTCCAGCCCGCCATGGAGAGGCAGCAACCTACAAAGTCGGCCAGGTGTACGTGTCCCTCGCCGTCAAGCAGCACGTTGTCGGGCTTGACGTCTCTGTGCACGATGCCCTGTCTGTGGATATACCGGAGAGCACAGCCTAGCTCGGCGATCCAGAAGCGGACGGCATCCTCGGTGAAGGTCTTGCGCGAGATGTGGAAGCGCAGGTCGCCGCCATTCATTAAATCTACTACAATGTATCTGGGGCGGTGGAGGTCAGCACGGCGGGCAGCGGACGGAGGCGTGGGGACGCACAGGTACTCAATGTCCTGGAAACTGTATCTCAGGTTGCAAAGGAAGGGGTGGTTGAGATGCTCCAGCATGCGGCGCTCTCGAATGATGTTGCGCACGCTCTCAGACCGCACAACTGTTACACAGCGTCAGCGTCAGCATGGGGGGCGGTGGGGGGAGGAGGTCTAGCGCGGCGGGAGGGATTGGTTCACCTTCATCTTTGCGTATGTACTTCAACGCAAACGTCAGGCCGGTGTCTTTGCGCTCGACAATGCGGACCTTGCCGAACGCGCCCTTGCCGACGACTCGAAGCAGACGAAAATGGTTGAGGTTGACTGGCCGGGTCAGCAGGACTGGCGGTGGGAGGGGGACGACGAGCCGCGCGCTCTGGCGGAGGCGGGGTGCGGCTTGGTGTCTGGGTCTGGGACGCACCTTCGTCGGTAAAGACTACCGGCTTCCCGTTCGAATTGCCCATTGAGACGGCGTTGGCGAGGGAATCATCCGCGTCGGGGTGCGTGGTGCATCAGCGGCGGGCGAGGGCCTGGGGGCAGTCGTCGTCGCTGGCGCCGTCGAGGGAGAGGCAGCGCGCGAGAGAGCGAGCGATGGGTCGGATGCGGGCGACAGCGGGCGACGGCGGGAGGCGCGACGTTTGTAGGGTGAGGGCTGGGTGCGAGAGTGAAACGGGCGCGGTGGCCTGCAGGAGGGCGGAGGGCGTATGGCCAAAAGACGGCCCTAGTGTTGTAGAGAGGGCGCTCTATGTAGGGTTAGGAGGCAGACGCAGGGGGCCCCAGCTCTGGCCAGCGCGCGATGGTCGCAGCCGCGGCGCCGCTCCAGCAGCGCTGCCCTGCGCGTGTATATCTCCGATCGCGCGCGACTGCGGATCTGCAGCGCGTAATAAGGGCGAGACGCCGCGTGAAGATTCGGGGCTGCACCGCTGCTGCTGTCGCCCCGGCCAGCACACAGCACCACCGCCGCTGGCCCAGCAGCCCCAGCTCCCCCCAGCAGCCCGCGGCCAGCTCCTCCACGTGTGGCCCTGAAACAGCTCTCCCGCCCGGGCTGGGCGTCAGCTGCGTGCCTCTCACCTCAGTCCGTGCTGGCCAATCTCCACGCCTTCCACTCTTCCAGAAGCAACGCCCGCCGATCCGCCAGCACCAAACCGTCGCGCTGCAGCCCGGCGACGCCACTCACCTGCAGGAGCCGCACCCACGCACCGTCCCACCAGCTGTGCCGCATCTCGCGGCGACTCGCGACGAGCCTGCCAAGGGCCCACCCGTCCACCCTCCGCCCGCCGCAGGGCTGAGAGTGAAATCATCTCATCTCGTGGCGCCGCGTCCACGGCCGATCTGGCCGTCGAAGCGCCCGCTGGGGACCGCCGCCTGCCCGGTCGCCCTCCGCCGGCGGAACTCCGCTCCTCCAGACGCCCTCTGCGCGCCCCTGGTGCCTCTGCCGCGGTGCCAGACATGTCATCCGTCGCCCTTCGGTCCTTCACCTCCGAGCCCCTAAACGAGCAGGTGGATCATCCGCCCTGAGGCGCGGCCATGTGCTGAGCCCGGGAGCCTGGGAACAGGAGGCTCATCATACGCCCTCGCCCACCACCACGCGTCGCTTATGTCGGTCGCCCACGATCCTTCAGCCCGCATCACGCGAGACCGTGTCTCTGACAGGCCCTCTTGTTTCACTCGCGCGCCAATACGAGCGGCGCAGCCCCATCTTACGGCGCTGCGAACCCGCCCCCTGGGCGCAGGAAATAAAAGAGCAGGGCGGCGGCGGCCCATGCAGTTTGTTTTTCCTTCTGGAAAATCCTCAGCGGACTGCAGATACATGCGTTTCACACGCGTGCGGCCGGACATACTTGGGGGCTCCTTTATGTCCGGAATGGCTGCCGATGATCAATGGCGGGGTTCTCCCACTGCAGCATCATTCGACGGCTCCAGCTTTGAGCCATTCCAGCAAACGCTCCCCACGACCGCGGGTGGGCCAAAGAGATGCAACGCTGGCTGTGCCCATCCCGTTGGCACGGACTGGCAACGGTTGTCTAATGCTCCTTTTCCCCCGCCCCGGTACGACCGCTTTCATTTGGACAACGTGCTCCACGCGTCATCAGGGCCCCTGCAAGGCCTCGTGCTGCCTGCTGCACGCCTCCTCCAACACGTCTCCGCATCTCCATGCTTTTCCAAATTTACATTATTCGCAGGCCACGCGCTTGACGATCATCACACATTTTCTCGAACCCTTCGTCTCCACCCCAAAATGACGCAGGTCCGTGAACTGCATACTGCAAGAGCAAGGGTAGGTTTCAAGAATCGGGGGTCGCTGTCCCTGTCCCTGAGCTCTGCATTGCACCACATCGCAGACGTGGGCTCTGCCTCTGCGGAAAGGACAATGAGGGGCGATGCGCCCCAAAGCCTTCTTCGGACGCTGTGCGACCCTTGTGTTTCAGAGCCATGTTTCTCGGAGGGGCCATTGCTTACGGCTTTCAGCGGCATGTCCTCTTGCTAGCTTTCCACATGGTGCGGGGCCCAATGAACGCATGCAACATCCACATGCTATCCTGGCGCCCTGGCTGCTGCATCATCAAGTAGGAGAACCGGCGTTCGCCACATGTGTGTGAACACATTGCGCGTCAGGACTCGCTTGGCCTGCATATTTTTTTCCTCGGCGCATCGTGCTGGCCAATGAGGAGGCCCTTCAGCGGTTTGTTCTTCATTCTCAGGACTGAGTAACCCATGGCAGATGTGCGCCAGGGGATGCGACTGCCGGTTTCTCCTCCCTGGAGCATGATGTCGATCACCGTTAGGTAGCGGACGCCGGGGGGTTTTCGGGCAAGCGCTGGAGCGTGGTTTCGTGCGGGACGAACGGGCACCCGTCGCCACTAACGCTAACAAGCTGCCTCCGAAGTGGATTGCGAATGTCTTGTTCCAACCTCTCTCTTCGGACGGCGCTATATTGGCATACCATTGCTTTTTCGTGGTCGGGCCCCCACACCCCAGCTTGCACCGCGGCACTTTCAGGCCAAATGCCGCCCAGGTAGTCAGTTATCGAGTCTTGGCAGCCGCCATGGCCCACTTCCGCTACTTCCCTCCATATACTTTGCAGCAGGAACCGAAGGATTGGGGCCCGCGCTTCCGCCGCGTGGGTATGCTTGCATGTGCGCCTACACGGAGCATCTGATGGTGTCCTCCAGGAGTAGCGAAGAATGAACGCATGGGCACACATGGGGACTTTCGTTATCGTCATCATGCGCCACGTCTTGTCTCTGCATCACACTAATACAGCTTGCGGTTGCCTCTTTGCCTCGTCGGATTTGTGGACGATTTGATCAAAGCACCGATTCGCGGGACAAATCCTCTCTCCGAGCGCAGTGCTACCCTTTCTTAGATACTTTGATGTCGAGCAACAATCCATCCGAAACACGTATGGAAATAGTTCAAGCCTTGTGTGTATATCATCCTGGTGGTCAACATTACGAACCCCGCTGCATGATTTAGCAATAGCAGTAATCTAGAGAACGTCGGGGGAATCCAACTAATCTTGATTGTTATCTTGTCCTCTTCCTTTTGTCCTGCAATTTCAGACCTGCAAAAATGGCCCCCGTTGCGTACTGTCGTTCGGTTCCTCGGAAAGGCATCTTGGCATGGGCTTACACATCGCGCTTGACTTGCCGAATCGAGAATGCTTTGCATGCTGACTGAGCATCGAAGACTGTGCCACATGTCGGCATGATCAGGCTGAAGTCTCGACAACTCTGACGAGGTCCACTCGTTCCTTTCATTACCATTCGTTTGGCTTAGTGTTCCATTCGAGACATGGCTTTTAGTGTAACAGTCGGTGAAGTGATATCTTTGCTGAAGATTGTATTAGGGTATAATTGAGGTCTCACAGAATGCCGCAGGAGAGCTGAAGCCTGAAGAGAGGAACTGGGCACAGCGGGTGACGCAATAAGCTGACCCTCCTACATGGACAGAAGAGTCCTATATTTGTATGCATTTGTATTGGTATAATACTCGCATCTACACTAGAACATACTTCAGCTACTGATCAAGAAAGGCTGCTTCAACCTACATTTAGTCAGCCAGGGCCTGGGCGAGACGGAGGAGACTTTTTTGGTTAATGAATATCAATCTACTCCAAACACAAGATACCCAGTGAGCCACAGGGCAATCGGCCCCAAATAGGATAGCGTGAAATTCAGGCGGACAAACTCGGGTATTCGGAAGAGCTCTATGGTGTTTACGACTTCCGCGCTCAGAGATATGCATATTCACGTAGCTAAGCTATAAAAATTGGAATCAATCCAGCACGAAGGCTAGATGAGTCCCCCCCTTTTATTTATCCATAATTAAGTGTGCGTGCCTCGAAGGATAGGGAAATACTGATGTATGTGCGGGAAATGAGCATTGCAGAGGCGCTTCCAACGATATTAACCTTAATACTAGACTGATCTTGCCTCCCATAACACCTATTTTACTATCTTGTCAGCAATTCATCTCTAATACAGCGAGAGTATCCTTCGGTGCCTATGTAATACATGTGCCTTGAGCCTAGAGCCCCACATAGAGTATTTGCAGGATATTGCACGCCGCCCTCAAGCTCAAGAGGACTACCTGGGGATCTGGCTAAAGAAACCTCAACCGCGATGCAAGCACTTCGACCATGAACACGAGGGTGCTATCCGCAGATTCAGTTATTCACCAAGAACGTTAAAACATCCTCGGCTTTCGGTAAAGCTGTTCTGTTACATATCATTGGAGCTGCGGAGAGAAAAACAAAGAATAACCACTTTGAAGAAATATTATCTAGCAGTTGTCTTCGGTGCTCTTTGCTAAGTAGTATACCTATCAGTCGATATTGCTGGGGTCACGCCTTTTGCAACACCGAAACTTCCATTCAACGTGCAATTGTAGCCAAGTTCCACTTTACAATACATGTGCGTCTGTGTGCCCGCTCTACCACCCCATCAGCCTGCAGCAGCGTGAAAGGTGCATTAAGCACCCTCCATTTTCCACGCAGCAGCCGCGCGAAAATAGTGTCAGTCACCTCCGAGGCCCTTTGTCCGTGAAACTCTCCTCCCCTCCCGCCGTTCAGGTAGATTTGAGCACGCACCAGCAGCGCAAATAGCTGAAAACAGCCACTATCCGTCGTACTGTCTTTCTTGGTTCCGAAGAAAAGAGAAGACCATTCAAAAAGAGAGAAAAAAAAAAGAACATCCTTCGAGAGTCAAATGTTGGAGGAGCAGCAGTTGCCTGCCCCTCGTCTGTCCATTTCCCATCTGAGTAGAACAAGAAGCACATGTGACGGCACCACTAAATGGACACTTCACGACACGACAAAAAAATCAGGGAGTCAATAAAGAAGAAAAAGAAACCCCCACAAAAAGAAGAACAGGTTGTGATTCTCCCCAACAGACTCCTCTTCGGAGCTGTTTGGCTACTACCTCAAACCCAACGCTTCCACTCTTCCTCCAAATCTCGGTTTCATAATCTTTACGTGGTGCTTCGCACTTTCCCCGACTCCAATAGCGCCCCTGTTGCGCACATTATCCGAACATTTCTGTGTCCACTGTCCAGACACTTGGGCACCCCGCAAAAACGGGATAGAACGTCTTACTTTCTCAAGCCCCCAGCTTGCCAGCAAGATTGAAGAAAGCAACGACAATGCAAGCACACCAAGGAAAAACATGGGAACCGTGCCCGTTTCTGGCTCGTATGTATTTCCCAGAAGAACAGAGCAGTGATCAAAAAAAAAACATCGACCGAAAACCTCCTTGTAGCGCCGGAATACCCAATTCGGCTAAACAATCTGTCCTCGGAAGCCAGGAGGGATGAAAAAGAGAAGTGCGCTACCAAATCCATAATGGTGATGCTCGCTCATGCAGGGAGATGGGGATATTAATCGACAGGCGTAAGAAGGAGGTGGAAGGACAAGAGGATGAGGTGCCGCAAAGAGGGAGAGAGCAAGATCAAATCTCCTCCATGTTGCCAGCCGGCTCCTCGTCATCACCCGACTCGTAGCTGCCAACCGAGCTCATCTCTTCCTCCTCATCGCTGTCTTCGTCGCCCTCGTCTGCGGCTTCTTTGGAAGCGAACTTGTTGACGTATTCTGCGCGTGCGAATTAGACTTCATACCTTCAACTCCGCAGAATCGCGGCCCAGCAAGCTGGAAATGGATGATTTACGCACCCCTGACTTTAGCATCGTAGCTCTTCGGCTCGCGCATAAGCAGAGCAGCCGCCTCGCCATTCAGCGGATCGGTGGGGTTCGGGTAGCGCAGGAGCTGGGGGAGGAAGACCTCGAAGATGTTGATCATGTCGTACATGGGCGACCACGTCTGGTTGATGACGTCCAAGCAAACGGAGCCGGACCTGTGAAGTGCGATTGTCTCAGTATACATGCCCCACCAAAATAGGTGAAGTAGCCGACGGTAGGAGGCGGTTGGGAACCAATCTTACAATTCGTCGATGTTGGGGTGGAAGATGCGGTTCACAAAGCCGATGCTGGGGCTCTTGTACGGATACTGATCGGGGAGCTCGACATGGATCTTCCACAGACCGCCGGCGAAAGGAGCTGCAGGTTACAAACAGAACCGTTAACCAAGTCGGGCTTATAGCAGGGGATGGCATCGTGCGATGATTCTTTTTAGGTGTTCCGTACTCTCTTCCGGTCCCTTGAACCGCACGTAGAACTCTTGCCTGCGATTCCGTCAGTCTGCTGCGCATCGTTTTGCGTCGCTCCGGGTTCCGTGCAAACGAACACTACGCAGTATGTCAGCACTCAACCATGCGAGACAAGCGAGCTCCAGGGCCGGTCTGCTCACTGTTATCATTGACCAGAGTGACTTCATAGTCGCTCATCAGCCTGCGCGCATCAGCACGGTTCAGCGTCGTCTTGGTGGCGATTCCACATACATCCTGCTAGAGTGTTAGCAGCAGTCTCCCTCATCACACAGATCCCTCATCGACCGTCCATCACGTACTTCATAACCTATATTCGCCGCACCGGAAGTGCTTCGTCAGCCCCTAGTCCTCCATTTATTTGAAGCCATAGTATAAGCACGACCTACATCCGTCTCGATTCTCCGCTTGGGGCTACTCATGATGACGGGTATTCGGCGTTTGCGTGTGTGGGAGTATTCGCGGGGCAGTCACTCGGGTACGAGTGACGGATCGAGGTGTGGAAGTAGTCACGGCAGGGCAGGCGCTGAGTAGTCGAGGTCAAGCCGTGGCCGGGCCGACGTTGCGGTGGCGTTCCGGAAGAGGGGCGAGTGCCTTTGTGGTAGCGCGGCGGACAATGGGCGGCGAGAGCCGAAAGGTAGATGGCGCGGATAAGGGCTGTCGGGGGAGCAAGCGGCGGGGGATGACGCTTGGAGCGTGGCGTAGGTGATGCGGCTGCGGGTCAAGAGGCCCGTCGATGGGAGAGGGTGGGGGGGATAGGTTGTTGTTGTTGTCCGCGAGGTCGAATGTAAGAAGGCGGAGAGGTACAGATGAGTGGACGAGGTCGAGGAGTTGCGACAGGTGGGCAGCGGCCAGCTCGGGGTCTCGTCATTGGCGCGCGGGCGGCAGTCACGCCGGCCGGACCGTGAGGCCAAGTCATGAGGCACGCGAGCCGGCCAGTGGGGAGATGGGTGCGCAGAGGGTGCCCGCTTCGTCCAGCTGCAGCCCGGGGTGCCGCATCGGTACAAGCAGACAATGCAGTGCTTCTTTGACCTGTCCCGACGCGTCGCCTTCCAGGCTTGTGCTGGCCGATGTTGCACAGGCGGGCAGCCTGCGGCACGGCGCATGACTCAGGACGGCCGTATCGATAAGGGCAGGAGGAGCGAGCACCTCGTCGACGCCGCACGTGGGTCAGGGTTCAAGCGGAGGGGCAGTGGCCTCCAAGGTGCATTTCGGCGACGACACACATGAACTCCATAAAAAATTGCACACCCCGCCCAGGAGCGTAGCAGGCAGCCTCATCAGCCTCGGTACCGCGGCACAGCCCTGCTCACCTCAGCCTGCCAGACAAAGACTGGAACTCCGAAAGCTGAGAAGGAGAAGCCTTGCCGTATTGGTTGAGTCCGGCCGGGCCGAGGGAAATACTAGGGCTCACAACTCCAACGTACTCTGGCCTGCGCAGCAGAAAACATCACGAACCCTGGCCTCATAAAAACCTGCGCGCGCAGCCCACAATGGCTCTCCCGCCTCATCCCGCCGGTCGCAAATCCATCGGAACCGCCATTCCCCACCATCCTCCATCAGTTCCTCATTAAGAAGAAAACGCGGCCTTTGGATACTGCGAAACCCGCCCGAGATCATGTCGCGTGCTGCAATGTCCCGCCTGGCCCCTTTTGCGCGCGGCCTGCTGCGCACGTCGCCCGTCGCCGCCGCCGAGCGTGCTCTGCTGCTGCCGCTCCTCCAGGCGCGCAACAGCTCTCACTCGCCCATGGGCACGCCTCCCGCAGCGCCGCGCAAGAAGGTGACGGTCAACACCCTGCAGGCGCTGCACCGCAAGAACGAGCCCATCACCGTGCTCACCGCCTACGACTTCCCCTCGGCACACCTCGCCGATCACGCCGGCATAGAAATCGTTCTTGTCGGTGACAGCCTTGCCATGGTTGCCATGGGCATGGAGGACACAAGCGAGGTCACGGTGGAAGACATGCTGGTGCATTGCCGCTCTGTTGCGCGCGCTACGAAGTCCGCTTTCACTGTATGATGCCCCCACGGGTCTCGAATAACACGAACAAGTACTGACATTGCCCCTCTCAGGTTGGTGACATGCCTATGGGTTCTTACGAGATCGCTCCGGAGCAGGCCCTCGAGACTGCCATTCGCTTTGTCAAGGAAGGTCGTATGCAAGGCGTCAAACTCGAAGGCGGCATTGAGATGGCACCCACGATTGCCAAGATCACTCGTGCCGGCATACCTGTCCTTGCTCACATCGGATTGACGCCCCAGCGTCAGAACGCCCTGGGCGGCTTCCGCGTGCAAGGCAAGTCCACCGCTGGCGCACTCAAGCTGCTGCAAGACGCACTTGCGATCCAGGAAGCAGGTGCTTTCGCCACCGTGGTGGAAGCTGTGCCGGCCGAGGTCGCAACCCTGGTGACGAAGAAGTTGAGCATTCCGACCATCAGCATCGGCGCCGGCAACGGCTGCTCCGGACAGGTCCTCGTCCAGGTCGACATGCTGGGTAACTTTCCGCCCGGCCGCTTCATCCCCAAGTTTGTCAAGCAATACGGCGATGTGTGGGCTGAGAGCATACGCGCCATTACCGAGTACAAGAACGAAGTCAAAACGCGTGCTTACCCCGCGCCTGAACATACGTATCCGATTGCGAAGGAGGAGGTCGCCGAGTTCGAGCGATTGATCGCAGACAAGGTGGAAGTGAACGGGAAGGCTTCGTGAGGTTGATGAGATGGTCATTGATTGTTGGTGGTCATGTGCGCTTTGTCTGCTGCTGTATGATATACCCTGTCGCTACCCCTCTTGAGGGCGTCGTTGTCTCTTATGTCCCTAGAACTGCATGCGTTGGGTGTTGTTGGGAAATGCCTATTTCGTTGTTAGTCATTGGAAATTGGAAATAATAAGACTTAGCTCACCTGCTCTGTCCGTACTGCTGTTTCACCCAAATGCTGGTGTTATCGAATACGCGACCACAAGTTCGTCTTTGGTTTTGAAGCACTGCAAAGCCATGCCAATTAGACCCTCTCTCAAGCATCATGATAAACTGTCGAAAATGTCAAGGGGGAGTTGCGGCTCACTCACCCTCCACAAGTTCCCGATGCCCTCATCCAACCCAGGCGCGAACACGCTGTTGACATAGCAAAAGACGCTCTCGTGATCCTGAAGGCGGAGCTGCTTGCGCAAGAATCGCACCACCGACTCGAAGCGGGCGGTCGAGGATAGCTTTCTGACGGGTTGATTGAGGCCGGGTGCCGATCCAACCGCGCGGAAGCGAATCTTGACTATAAGGCGAAGACGGTGTCAGTTGTGACTCGGCCAGCTCGACGGAAGAAGGGCGTAAGAGGAAAGGAGTCTAATGACTCGAGATAGCACAAGGAAATTTGGGAAAACAGAAGATGAGGCAAAATGGCAGAAAGTAATATCCGACCAGACTATGGCAGCACCACAACGGCACCCGTGCCGCTTGAGGGGTACAGAAAGGAAAATCAGAAACATGTGCAGAGTCGAGCGAAAAGCAATGCACTACAAACAGCAGAGGAAAAAAATTCCTCCCCAGTAGCAGCTCACCCTTCTCAACACCCACTTCCCCCGCGCCGTCTAGCGCGCTCTTCGCATCCTTAGGCAAATTCGTCAAGATCACCGACGCTTGCATGGTCATCGGCAGATCCGGGCCGGCCCCTGCCGCTCCTCCTCCTCCTCCTCCCCCATCTCCTTGGCCATCGTCGGCGCGGAAAGGAACGTCGGGGGTGGAAGGCGAGGATTCCATCGCCGGTGCTGCCGCGACGGCCGGTGATTGCGGAGCGGGTGAATCGGATGCGCCTGTGACGCCGCCACTGACGGTGTAGGCTGCAGGCGGCGGAGGAGGAGAAGAAGACATGGCTGTGGGGCGAGGCTCGAGCAGTCTTTCCTCTCCTGTCGATCGCCGATGCGACGCGCGCGTGTATTGATGTAGTTGCCTGGAAGGCTGAGGATGTTTGAGCCCAAAACGCAATGCAGCGGGGTGATTTGTGGCGCTACTTGGACGAAAAGATAAGCGCGAGATACACGGCAAGCGTGGTGAGGGTTGTGACCTTTTTCCAGCTCTGAGGGAGCGGGAGTTGCTGCCCAACGTAGCCTACGAATAGCGATGTGGTTGGGAAGTCGCGGTGCGCAATTCGGCAGTGGCCGGCCGCACGTCGTTGGCGCGGTCTCACGCCTCCCCGCCCTCCACCGTGCACCTACCAAACCCCTGCCGTTTCTGGACGCGGATCTACCCGATATCAGTCCGGTAAGGCTGAAGTGAGGCATGCCCCAGCCGCTCCGATTCTGGAACGTCTTGCAAAGATCTTCCCTCTGGAACGCTGTTAGCTGTCTATCATACGTCATACTCGCTTGTCCGCTTTTGTCCGGCCTCAGCACAGTCATTGCACTTCAGTAAACCAACTGTTTATTCAATGTCTGGATCCCTTATGTTCATATACCAGAAAGTATGTACACAAACTGATGCGGCTCAGACATTAACCATCAGTAGGCCTCTCAACCGTCCCCACTTCCACCGGCAAGCAGCTAAGCCAATATATAAGCAATAGTCCCAGCTCCGTCATTGCCATAGCACCAACGCCAGCAGCTATCCTCATCCACCCGGAATCCTTCCCCAAAATCCGTGAGAGCGAACTCAATCAGCCCGAGGTTATTTTTAGCCGCCAGAAGGATTTACATGTACAGTAACCGCGGGCCGTAGCTTCGCGCGTCGTTCCGTTTGTGAATTGAAAAGGAGAATGCCAACTCGAGAAAATGCGCCATGTGATGCAGAAAGGTTGACATGCCGTGGAGGCGGATAAGGTAGTTGTTTTTGGGGTATTCTTGAATAGGCACGCATGAACGCACGGGGACTCTGGAAGCGGACCACATGATCGGAAGCCTCCAAATGCCAAGCTGTATGGCTGTCATGTTTTGAAAAGAAAATGATCTTGGCAGGACGGGGTTGCATAGCGCGCTGTTGGGGGCCAATCATATGTCGGACCAGACGAGCTAGGTGCTTGCAAGCCCGTCTTGTAGCGGTCGTACGGGGTTTGTACAAGGTAGGTAGCCCGCAGAACTACGTCATAAGAAGGGACGCTTCAATTCCCTGAGCAGATTATCGAGATCCTCCCAGTTTTCCTGGGTAGCAGCGAACTTGCGGTGCTTGCGGCTAACGACGTGCTGACACCATTGTTAGTCTGGAATGCAGTTGCTCGGAGGAACAAACTTACAGTATCAAAGTCGTCAAACTTCTCACGGCAATTTTCGCAATATCCAGGTTTGGGTTCCTTCTCAAGGGACTTCTTCCTACGGGCAACGATGACCCTGCGACCGCCTTGTTTCTCGACCTCGTCTGAGTCGGGAGCACCTGTGATATTCGCTCGGGCCTTGCTCTTTGCAGCTCGAGGCGGGGCAGCACGATCTCCATTGATTGCTGCTCTGACATCTGTCATGTACGTAGAGTTCGTGCTGTTTGGTACACTGTTCTTCTCCAAGACTTTCCTGCTCAACTGGTTGACTTCTTTGCTGGTGCCAGCACGGGCACCAGGGGCAGCAGCCGTAGAGGAAATCATTTGAGACTTGATGGCAGACGTAATGTTAGATGGCTGTACACCAGAAGCAATGGGTTCACCACCGGCATAGCGAGGCATAGCACGCAAGCTGGCCTGGGCACTGCCAAAGAGCGGAGGCATGCCATCCGGCTCCCTGCGTTTCGCAGGAATGAGCTTCGGCGGATCCAGAGGCTTGGACAGACTCGTGTCAGTAGACTCCTCCGTCACGCTGCCACGCCTCGACACGTTGTTTGCAGTCAGCGATCTCTTCTGCTCGACCTTGGGAGCACGCTGCTTGGCAGCCTCCAGGGCTGCAGAGGCAGAACGTGTTCGGGGTGCTGCAGGAGGTCGCTCTGCTTTCTGCTGAGTCGTCTTCTGTTGCTCCTGCAACTGCCACTTCCTCAGGTGTTGTGGATCCTCCACGAAAGGGCACCTTCCTGGGGCGGTGAGACGGAACTGGGGCCACTTTCCCTCCTCCTTCACAGCCACCTTGGGATAATCCCTCATGATAACAGGACGGTACTTCTCATTCATACAGTGAATGTAGACAAAGTAGCCACGGAAATGGGCCATGTCCTTGGTGGAAACAGCGAGGTCGCGGTCAGCCGGACCGTTGACCTTCTCGTTCTTCAGGAGCTGCGAGAGGTCCGCACCGCGAGTCTTCGAAGCGGTGACCGCCGTGTTTCCCCGCGTGTTGTAGGCAGGAGGCTGCTCTCCAGTGTCCGTGTTGAACATGGTGTTCAGGATCCTCTCGAGCTTCTCCAGAGCCCATATCTTCATACCCATCTCTCTTGCCTTGACGAGGATATCGCCATTGTGACCGCTCCGCGTACGCGGTTCGGCATCCTGGAAAATGCTAAACTTAAGTCAGCCACTGAGAATATGCCTGAAGAATGGATGACATGCCCTTGCGCAGTGGAGATGGCCGGTTTCCTGGCAGCAGCAAGCTCAAGGGCGAGCCGAGTACGTGCGCCTTGCGATTCTGTCGATCGATTGAGGAGAGAAGGATTGATGGTTCGCAAATGTCCTGCTTCATCTTGCGCGGTGGCGGTGGTGGTGTTGGAGGACGCGGTTCGAGTATCGACTGAGCTAGAAGCGGGCTGCTCGGGGGGGATTTGACGCGTCGTGACGACATGGGTGACGGATTTGGAGAAGAACTTCTCCTCGCGCTAGAAGTGCAAAAACATCAATTTCTTGTGGACAAGTCAACCGTAGGGTGGGTAACGTACAGCGCCCAAAGCCAATATTTGTTTTGTTGCTCTGGCCCGTGCATCGGCGGGTATATTCTCAAGGTAGAAGACATATTGCGGGAAGACCTTGCGGTAGTGCTTCTGCCATTGGCGAATAGTTTCGAAGTTATCCTGGACGACCTTCTGTGGTCTGTCGACCGGCTTCTGGCTGGACTTGGTGTCGCGTGCTGCCTCGAGTTTCTTGTGAACGGCAGACGCCGGGGTGTGACCCGCGTTCTTCAAGAGGGTCTGCCGACGGCTTTCCACATCATTCTCCCCAAGATATAGCTTTTTTGCAGGTGGCTGGCCGGGATACGCGGCATCTCTCTGTTCGTTCGCGTGAGAACGCGGTCGTTTGGTCGTGGTTGCCGCGTTTGGCCGATAGGGCGAGTTGTTGGCATTGGGGATGTTGGCGAGCGGGACTCGACGCGACGGCGGCATGTTGGACAAAGCCCTCGGCGATGGAGGCACGGAGACTGCTGCCATGCGTGAGGGCTGCTCGGCGAAACGAGCTGGCGGAGGGCGGACGTTAAGACGGGCAGAGCGAGCAGCTCACGCGTGTGGTGACACGTCGAGGCGCCTTAGTAGTGGACGATGTACATGGCGGTGGGTGGCGTGTCAAGAGTGTTAAGCGAGGGCAGGTGTGGAACGAGCGGCCAGAGAGTGTCGAGGATTGGCCTTGTGCGGGGAAAGAGGTGGTTGCAGTGCTTGTTGTGGCTGGTCTGCGGTGGTGGTTGTCAAGCATGCAGGCGCGCTAGGCCCACGAACGGGCTTTCGAGCAAGCGAGCCGTCCCCGGCAACCCGATGACCCCCCTACGTCAATAAATCTTCACAACAACTTCCGCACGCGTCCAGCCATTCCACAACCTGTTGCACTCCACACGCTGCGTTCTTGAACCCTAGCTCGAAATATTTCCTAGTATGCGCTCAGCCACCGCTCAAGCGGCCAGATCGCGTGCGCACCACAGATCACCACCCGGCCCCGCGGCCCTTCAACGGTCGATCTCGCCCCCATGCACTACGTAAACAACAACATAAACACAACAACACGGAGGGAAATCCCGCTGCAATGGTGTCCATCATGCGAGCCTGAACGAACTGCATGTTTTGAAGACCCATCCGTTGGCCAAGACGTTTTTTTCTGGGTTTAATTTCCCCATCTGCATTGGCAGGCATGAAGAGCACTCCCTACTTGATCGATTGCACGTCTCTGTATTCTCTCCGTCCTATACTAAACCCCTGGTGCCCCCCTCCCTCCTTTCCACACACACACTTTTACGCCATTTTTTTTGTTTTTGGACACGGGCAGTAGCTTCAATCCAAGCTACAGAACCATGGCGCCACCTGTAAACACCTTTAGTTCTCGTTACGTCCCGTCCATGGGCCCGCTAGACTTACCGTCCACGAGGAGATCAGCGCCGTTGATGAAGCTACCGGCGTTCGAAGCAAGCAGGATGAGAGGCCCAGCAAGCTCCTCTGGGACTCCCATGCGTCCCATCGGGTTGCGAGCAGCCCACATGTTGCGCGCTTTCTCTATGCCAGGACCTTCATTGAGAATGGTGTCCATGTAGCCCGGGCTAATAGTGTTCACGCGAATACCGTACCGAGCCCATTCAGCGGCGAGACAGTTTTTCAAGTGAACGACCGCAGCTTTGGACACATTGTACGCTACTTGAGGTTGTGGGAAGTTGACGTGGTGTGCAGAGATGGCTGTCGAAGCAGTCAGCACTCACTCGTAGTCAATGAATTACACGCGTGGGCGTACAGGCTATGAGGATGATGGAGCCCTTGGTCTTCTGGTCCACTATCTGCCTATCGAGACTGTCAGCAGCCAGTCTAGAGCTAGCCAATATTCGAGACGTACTTGGCAACAGCTTGGGCGCAGAGGAAAGCACCAGTGGAGTTTATGTCCATGACTCGGCGCCATTCGTCTAGCGACATGTCCAAGGCGTGGGTGCATCCCACAACGCCAGCGTAGCAGGCAAGGATGTCGACGCTGCCAAGCTCTTCTGTGGTTGCTTTCACGGCAGTGTCGATGCTCTGTGGGTCGGTTACATCCACTTCCTTAGCCACGATCTTCTGGTCCGGGAAATCCGCCCGCAACATCTCGATCTGCTCGGCGGCGTGGGCTGGATTGATGTCGAAAAGCGCCACACCGCTCGCACCATGTTCGAGAAGCGCGCGAGCGCCTTCTAGCGCCAGCGTCCCAGCACCACCGGTTACTGCGGGAATCAGCCCATGACTGCATATGCCTGGGCACAGATGCTGGCGTGCAACGGCACTTACATATGGCATTGCCCTCGACAGAGAAACGGTAGCGGGCGCGGCCCTCGGCGTTCAGGTAATGAGGCGCTGGTGGCGGCGGGCCGGTCATCGAGGCGGCCGAGCCGTCCGATAGCTGCATCTCCGGCAGCTGGCGATTGACCAGGGCATCGCGGGCGTTGATGTTGTCAGGCATGCTTGGCGGGGGAGATGCTTCCGGTGGGTTGGCAGAAGGTGGGCGGAGGCACGACGAGGCACGTAGGGCTTACGGGCGGAATTGATGCAGAGGCAAGCGCGACCGTAGCACCTACGATGCTATGTATGCGGAAGCTGGTACTGCAGTGCCACCCCACAACCCCGCGATGGATGACATAACGGCGGTGCAGCGTTGTCGGACTGGGTCACCCTTTCCGCCCCGCACCCGCACCCGCACCCCGGGCGGGCAGGTGTCGCGAGCGGCAAGTTTGGCGACAGGCGACGGCGACCGGCGACAGGCGACGAAAAGGCTGCAGACATGTTGCCGGGTAGGAATGTTAACCGCGTACCAGTACTGAGCATTTCCTGAGCGCGGCACGGGCATGGGAGCCCACGTGCAAGGCGCGGCAGACGCGGAGGTTTTTCGTGCCGGCAGCTGGCCCAGCCCGGGCGACACCAACACGCCCAGCGCTCGATCACGCGCCCTCGGAACACTGCTATAGCCAGTGATAGCCACCGACACCAGACGGCAGTCCCGCGGTCCGATTGCACGGCTTCCGTCTCGTGCCTAGCGCCGCGTGCGGGACGGGAGCTGCGTGTGCTTTGGCCCGTTGCGCTACCTCTCGCGCACGTACAGCTACAAAACCACCCTGCACTGCGCCTCCAAGCCGCACCCTTGAGTCGGTCTGCGCAGAATGGCTAGCCACGCGCCTCCGCGCCTACCTCACGGTCCAAAGGAAAAAGACAATAGGCGGTGGCTGCGGCGCCGCCGTCGGCTAATAATGGCGCTGAGCTCACACTATCTCCACACGTTATTTCCTCTCTCGTCTTGCTGCTCCTTCCTTTGTTGCCATGGCCTGCTTATAAGCGGCCGCTTTGTCCTACCTTTGCTGTGCACAATCCACTCAAGTGCTACCTGAGCGCCCCCCGGAAGCCTATAAAACATTTCCATTTATTCGAGAAGCCTTCCTTTTTTCCGTCTCTCTCTCTCTCTCTCTCTCTCTCACTCTCTCGCTGCACCCTAGACTCAACCAGACACCCTACCGTCGCTCCTTCAGAGTCCCAATCTTCCGCCTACCGACCATTTCGGCTGAAAAGTCATCATCAGTCCTGCCATTCTCCGCACACAGATCCAATCACTCCGACCTCAACGTCCCGTCCAGAAAAAAAAAAAAAGGCGAAATCAATGTCTACCGACGCCGACGTCCTCGCCCTGCCGCAGCAGCTGCCAGAAGTGGAGCACTGGCGCGACGAGCCCGTCTCCCTGCTGCCGGCCGCGCTATACACCCTCACCCCCCTCGTGGACAGCACGGAGCTCATCCGGCTACAAGACATGTGCGAGTCCAAGTGCGACACATACAGCCGCGGCGAGTGTATACGGCCGCCGCCCGACGGCCGCTGGAATTTTTCCGGCCAGAAGCTGGACGCCGTCGTCCGGCATCACGTCGAGCTGGCCAAGGGCTACCAATTCAACCCGCTGCACTTTTTCGTGGCGGTGCCAGGTGCCGGCCCGGCGGCTGAGGGCGCCGTGTTGTTTGTCACGCTCGACGCAGATGACGAGGCCGAGGGGTGTGTGCCTGACGCTTTCTGGGTGAAGGCGGAGGATGCCGGGTTCTGCTTCATGAACATGGTCATTGGGAACTCGGATTGGTACGAGCTGAAGGGGAAGCACGCTTTGAAGGATTAGACGGTCTACCGGAGATCGTAGATGAACAGCCAGGGCGACCACCCGGTTACTGGCTGCACGTCGACAACGATCAGAGGCGACGCTGGATGAACCCCTTTGCAGAACCAGGGAAGGAAAGAGTTGCAGCATCTTGGTTGAGCTCAGCACACGTTTACGCAGATTATTCGCAAAGGCGAATGCGCAACACGCTGGGTCTTCAGGACCAACAGATACGATGGACGACCGACTCAAACATCGAAAGAGTAGAAGACGACGTTTCGTATCTTCGCACCACAAACTACATCGATACACGACGGCCAGTTATCAGACACGCTTGAGCCATCACTGTCAAGAATGGCGGAGACCTTCTGCCCGACGTCTGTAATTGAAGCAGATTTCGTCTAGGAGGAGAACCATGTGGCTCAAACAAGCTCGGAGGAGAGCACGATCGATCGATAGACTATGCGCCATCGCCTAGTGGTTACGGGGAAGCCACGGGATTCGTCATCGCTGGTCGCCTCGTCCCAAGCGGGTATGCATGATAGGTACAGGGGTTGCGATTCAGGTGTTTAAGGGGCACACAAGACCGGAATTTTCCCACAAGGAATACGCGTTCACCGGAATGTTTAGTAGCGCCAACAGGCGACAATTTTTGTAGTATCAAATTAATTGTCTGGTATCCGATTGGTTTTGACTCGTGAACAGTACCGCCGAGCTAAGCTCCAGTTGTTTCTCGTCGGATCCTGCTGGATTTTGGCTCGGTCCTCCCATCAAGCATCACCCCAGCGAACGCTCGGAAGATCAGCAAGATTCGCTACGTAGTACGTACTGTGGAGTGGTACACGTCCCCCGAGGGATCTGTTAGGGATCACACCGCACGGCTGCGATCCGGAACCACAGAGGGCTGCCTACGTGGTATACGGACCGGTCAACACCGTCGATGCTCCGCAGAGCTTGTTTCATTGGAGAACCGCCAAGTCCCCAAGCGCACCCGACATTATTGAAACGGCGGCCGTCCCGACACCGCACGCGGCCCGCCTGACGGCATCAAAAACCACGTCAGAATAATCTTAGGGATGGAGTCGGTCAAACGGTCCGCCGCGACCGGCGCTTAAAAGTAGTGCCACTGACCGGCGACAGCAGCGCCGGAGGTTGAGCCAAAGAGAGAGGAGAGGGGGAGAGAAAAAAAAAATTTGCTTGGGATTTGGCGTGCATGAGCTAGCGCTACAGGTGAATGACGATTCGGCACGGCGTAAGGCTGGACGTCAGCCTTGGGCGTCAACGCTGACGCCAGCTCCGATGGAGGATCAAGTGTCATGCCCCATCAGGAAAGAAATTCTCCAGGATCGAAACACCACCATCGGGAAAGCTTCGGTGCGGGCTATAGGGGGGGGCTTCAGCTCAACAGCGACGACATTGTTCTTCATCCAAAGCCGCCGCCTTCGGAGGGCGCCGATGATACAGTAGCCATGGATGACGGGCCGCGTGGGGAGGTAGCGACTTCTCTTAGACCTGCCCTTTCGAGGTCAGTTCGGCTGCGGCTCTCGCCATACCATTTCCTGAACAAGTATGTCCGACTATCAATTTTCTTCATGTAACCTTTGGAGTCAGTGCAGCATCGTACTACGTACTCTTGCAACTTTTGACAACGCATGTTTAATACATGTCTTGGCAGAATCGAGGTCCATGGACACTTCGCATAAAAAGATGTTTGTACCACATAGAATAGAACACGGAGTAGTTGTGTGTGTGTGTGTGTGAGAGAGAGAGAGAGAGAGAGAGAGAGAGAGAGAAAAGAAAAAAAAAAGGGAGGACTAAGACAGTTTTCGGACGCAGTGCAACATCAATCCCACTATTCCGTGGTATCTCCTTTTCTTTTCTTCCCTCGCCCCTCTTCTCGCACCACCGGAAGACCGCCCCTTTGCAACATCAAGAAAAAGTCACGATGAAGCGCGGATGATTCGGACCTTCTTCGCGTGGTGTGGCTTCTGTTAGCAGCATCGGACGAGACTACGGGGATCGGCACACGTCTGGATCTCTTTACTACGTACGTCTGGCGGTCCGATTGTGGTGACATTTTCCTCGAACGTCGGAAGGATATAGCATGGGTATAAGACTTCCGGAAATGATACAAAGTGACTGTTCTCGGGAAACGCTCAAGGGAATAAGTATCCGTGGGTTGGTCCGGCCTGATCCCGTCTACTTATGCATGCCGCATTCGCAGGGAAGGTTGATTACGTGATGATAGGGCGGGGGTCACGGTGCGTCACTACTTGAAGTTATGCAGGACTGGCGAGCTAGTAAAGTAAAGAGGATGCCATTTGCTCAGTAGGTTGTGCTGCTACAAAAACGAAAGCGTTTGAGGCTAGGTCATTCTCCGATTTTTTGTCATCTTCATCAACACAGCTCAAGTAAGCTCAACGAAGAAGCCAATTGGGCAGCCAGGGCCGCCCTCGCTCTGCGTGAACTTGAGGGTGGTGTCAGCGCTGCAGAGGCTACCGCTAACGGTGGTTATTGTATCAGTATCAGGAATGTCGCAGGGGCCGGAGAAGATGGTGTAGGCGTTGCCGGGCAGAATCTCCGGAGGGGCGGGAGGGCCTGTAGAGGTATAAGGTTAGCCGGTTGCAAGACTCTTTGATTGTTTTTTTTTTTCATTGCCGACAGCAGGGGTCGGGAAGGAAGGGAGGGCAAGGACTTACTCGGACCCGGTGCGGGTTGGTTGTTGTAGGTGGTCGTGTCGTTGGCACCGACGCCGGTGGCGTAGCCAGTAAAGGTAAAGTGGCCCGGTCCCGAGAAGGAGTACGACTGCTTGGCCTGGTCTTTCGTCGGGAGCAGGAATACGAGCGTGCAGGTCTTGCCGGAAGCTGACGGGGGCAGCTCGAGGTTGGTGATGAAGCAAAGGTCGTTCGGCGTCACCTTGGCCCTCAGCGAGGGATAGAAGTGCTTGTTGGGGTGCTTCTCGCTGATCTCATAGAAGGCGTTGGTCGACACGTACGTGGGAGACAGAGTGCCGTTGACGGGGCATTCACAATCGTCATCCGAGTCTTTGGGAATAGCGGTAGCCATGGCGAGGCCGAAGAGGGCCAAGAGTGGAAGCAACTTCATGCTGGGCGACTGGGGTGAAAGCGCTGAAGGAGATGTCCAGTGGAGTCTATGTAAACTCTTGGATCCGGTGAGCTGGTGAGTGAAAAGTGGAATCAATGGCGACACGCACCTGGTATTTAAACCCTCAGTGATGCCGTGTCTGGACAACAATGGTGGGAGAAACCCCGCAGCACCATGGTGCAGGAGCTCTTGCGCCGTCCTGCCAGGGACGAGCAGCAAGTGATGCTCGCGGTTGGCGACAGACTTCAGCTACTGCAAGCGGCCGGTAGCGCGGCAGCGCGTCAGCACAGAATAGGCGAACCATTGCAAGCCGCCTCCTTGTCTGGACACAAGCAGCAAGAAAGTTTCCTATTCGAAGTTGCTTGTTCCAGGCTGATGCAGTTGGCTGGCTCACGTGGGATGCAGGAACGTGATTGTTAGGTAGGCCGTGGCGTCGCGACAGGTCATGGCATCCACGGATCCCCTCCGCCACCACCGGGCTCAAGCGAGGCGGATTGAAGGCTGATTTATTAACCATCGCCCAACCATCGTTGAACAGAGCACGCATAGGGGATTGATGAAGGATGTGCTGAGGCGCAAAACTCTAAAGCTACCTACCCCGCAATCTCCTCAGCCGCAGGCTATATCGGTGCTGTGCTTCATCAACCTTCTCATAAACAAGCCTGCCAGTCAGCTTACTGCGCCGACTTCGTAGTGCTTACTGTCTCGGGGATGCCTCATGTACCCTTATTGGAATCTTCATTCCTTTTTACCCGAGTGGTTTCCATCTCGTAAATGCATGCAAGGGACAATATCAGACGAGTCTGGATCAGCCGCAACCGAGAGGTTGTCCAACAAATTGCGCATTTTGCTGCACTAAACGGCTCAGTTCAGCTCTTGGTCCCAAGCCGTCATCTATCCCAGCGCCCCGGGCTGGACGGAAGTTCCCACTTGACTCGGCCCGGGAACATGATGGACTGGTTAATTAAAAAAACAAAAGGCTCTCCTGCCAAAGGTCGCACGAAGGCTCATCCTTCAAGCGAAGCGTGCGCAAGACTCGATGAATGGTTTACTCTCATAACCATTCGCATTCCTGATTGAAGTCAGCACTTGTATAGCTGAATCTCCAAGTGCACTTCTGAGAGAGATAGGAAAATGTAGAGCAATCCGCATTTCGGATCCCACGCGCACTCCTCCAAAGAAACAATGGCCTGACAATGCCCAGATACACATCTCCTTTAGATAGATGCATGATCATCAGATCGTCGTGCAGTTCCCACGTGGTCCTGTGGAACACTTGTGGTGATCGACAGGGCGTGGAAGTCTCCTCAGCTGCATGAAACATGATGACAAGCTCTGAAGGAAGCGATGGATCCGCGGATAGCGTACCGCTTACCTTTCCTTATGAGAGCATATGACCTGTTCCTACCAAGCTACCGATCCGCTATCCAAAACGTCTTCTGGTGCATCATAGCTTCATCAATCGTTCCCAATCCCATCCATCAGTCTGTTGCTCCGTCATCGGAATGCCGCTGAAACTGGTAATCCTGTTTTGACATCTGTTCCTCTCCGACACCGCTCTGTGTCTTTAACAGCGAACCAAGCCACTCGACAAAAGTTTGGCTACTTTGCCCGCCTTCCTCAACCTTAGTCCTCATCCTCAGTTTCTTGTGTCTGCGTCTGCGACCATGGCGGCGGCGGCGGCAGCGAGAATTCCTCTCCCACCAACCCCTGCTGCATCATCTGCGTTGCCGTCACCAGACCCTCTACAGCGTCTCTCCTCGTTACTCGCCCGACTGCCACCTCTTTCTGATCCTCCTCATGCTGCTCCCCTCCCTGCGAATCAGGCACCCTGTCCCACTCTCCCACGTCCTGATCTTGTGTTTGCGTCTGCGTCACCGGCTGCAGCAGTATCTGCTTGAGGTGCAGCTGCGTGGGCTGCGAAGGCGGAATTTGGTCATCGGCCGAGACGTGACTGCAGCAGGTCTCGGGTAGGTGGGATGATTGCGGCGGCGGCGAGGAAGGGACTTCAGGAGTGTCTGGTCTGGTGGGAGGGCGAGGAGACGCTTGCGTGGGGGTGGCGGTGGTGGAGGAGGCTTGGGAGTGTCGAACGGGGGAGGAGAAGTGGGGTAGATTCCGGTCTTGTGTGGTGTCCTGGAGCTGTTGCTGCCGCGGGCTTTCAGCCTCTTGCTTGATCGCTGGCATTCGTAGGGAAGTGGGAGCAGAGAGATGGGTCGTTGGTGGCGCTTCTTGTGACGATGCTGGTGCTGGTTGTCTAGGCGGTGCTTGCGGATGTTGAGGGGCTCTCTCCTCGAAGTGGAGGAATCTGTTGGTGGAGCCGTGTTTTGGAGGAGAATGGCGGTCCTCCTGTGCACTGTCTTGGCTGGATTCGGGCTCTCCTGTAGCTCTCGCGGAGATGCAATTGAAGTCGATGCGGCGAATGTAGGCTTGTGTTTCTTGGCCGATGTCTATTCCAGCAACGGCATCGGCCATCTCTTCATTTCCGTCCTCTTCTTCTTCGTCGTTGAAATCATCCTCGCTGTCCGCGACCCCACTCGATACCGGCGAGTGTGGATGGTGCTTACTTACGGAGCTCGAAAGTTGATCCTTGAATGCAACCACCTTCCTTGTGCTTCGACGTATCGATCCCGCTATGGGTTTTGGTGTCCTCGAAGGAGAATCCAAGAGGCTTTGAGGATTCGTGGAGAGTGACCGCAATGGAGACCTTAACAATCTCCGTCGCTCATGCGTGTGAATGGCTGAAAGTGGAGTAACAGGTGGAGACTGCGAAGATGGGACCTCTAACAGGCGGACCTTGCGTGGCGTATGCGGGAGTTGTTGCCCCTTCCCAGGGATATCACTGCCAGGTCGAGGTTCTGGTTGTGCTCTTTCCCATGGTGTCTCATGTGTGCTCGTCTCTTCACAAATCCCTTGCGTTTTTTGCTTAGTCTTATGTCCATCAGCTTCAGCATCTGTTGGTGCGATTCCTTCGCCATCAGAAAATCCATTGAATTCCTCGTCTGAAGCTGGCCCAGCTACGCCACCATCGTCTCCCACATCTGATGGTGAGTTGTCACCCAGTTCTTCCGCACCGCTAGCTTCACTGGACCCTTCATTCTCTTCGCTATCTGACGGTGGAATAGTGGAGATCCATCCAATTTGCGTGAGGGTATTCTGCGACTCGGTCTTCCCAGGTAGGGTAGATCGGCGGCTCCGTTTCTTGGGACGCGGCTCGTCAAATTCATCTTCCGAGTCCTCTATTGTACACGCAGCAAATGGTATTCCCCTTTCGTACTGTGTCAGAGTAGTTTGTCGTCGCGACCGTCGGGACGCAACATGTCGTCTGGGCGGATTCTGCGGGGAGGCACGGCTGCCTGAGGAGGGCGCGGCGCTTTCGGCGGTAACTCTCTGGGGAGCACGACGGGCCATCGTGGCTCAGGGCGGGGCGTGAACGAGGGCCGGTGACTCTTGGGTTGATGGACTGTGTACGGTGATGGTTTGGTGGACGAGACGGGTCGACGCGTCGACGCGTCTGGTAGGTCCGTGCACGCGTCAGTCTAAGTGTTAAGTCCGTCCGGTATTTAGCGCCGCGGCGTCTCACTCATCCCCCTCACCTCTCGTTCACTCCCCGCTCGCTCGGTTCCGAGAGCGAAGTGTCGCATGCAGCTGGCCATGTCTTCTCACTGGTTTCGGACTTCCCCTCGGGCTACGCTGGCCCCTTCATTCCCGCATCATTCCCCCACATCCCGAGACAGCAGGCCGGCCGCCACATGCAGCTAAGCACGCAAGCCGGCCCAGTGCCAACGGAGGAGCTTTGCGGCAATTGCGTAGGTCAAGCCGGACATTATTATTTGGTACATAACAAAACAATAGCATTCGCCTTTTTGCATTCTACCATTGACTCCTGTTCCCCCTCTACCGCTGCTGTGACGCCCTTGCAACCATGCCGAACGAAATCAAGGACATCCGCACCATCGACGAGACGTCGTTCCCCTACGTTGTGGAGCTGAATGCGACGGTGCAATTGAAGTCGAGCGAGGGCTTGTGCCGCGTGAATGTCTACCGTCCCAAGGGCACAGAAAAGGTTCCGGTGTTGGTAACATACGGCCCGTATGGCAAGGACATCCACTACAAAGAGTGAGCCCACCAGCCCTCAGAGCCACCCCGCCATTCACTCACACGATACCAAGTTTCCACGCCAAGTCCTACTCCGAAGTCAACCCCGAGCACCACTCCGACCATTCTGCTTGGGAAACGCCTGACCCCAAGTTCTGGACGACTCATGGCTATGCGATAGTGCGCGCTGACGAGCGCGGTCTGGGACAATCGCCCGGCCTGCTCGACACCATGTCGCGCGGTACAAGCGAGGCCTTTTTTGACGTGGTCGAATGGGCTGCTGAGCAGCCGTGGTCATCGGGCAAGGTCGGTTTGCTGGGCATCTCATACTACGCTGGCTCGCAATGGCGCGTCGCAGCGCGTAAGCCCAAGGGTCTGTCGGCCATTGTGCCATGGGAGGGCATGTCCGACTACTACCGCGACCGCTGCAGGCACGGAGGTATCCTGTCGAACAGCTTCATCAAGTTCTGGTGGGACCGCCAGGTCATCTCCAACCAGTATGGACTGCCTGGCCGTGCGGCAAGAAACTGGGGCCCTGATACTATCGAGGGCGATCTTAGCGAAGAGGAAATGGCCAAAAATCGCCGGGACCAGAACATCGATAATGCGGAGAACAATTACCGCGACGATGGGTATTACGCTTCCAAGGAGTACGACATGGCAGACATTGAGGTGCCACTCCTCTCCGTTGGCAACTGGGGAGGCATTCTCCTACACCTCCGGGGCAACGTCGAAGGCTTTGTGCACGCCGGCTCCGAGTTCAAGTACCTACGCCTGATCACTGGCCGCCACGACCTGCCCTTCTACTACAATGAGGAGGTCGAGGTGCAGCGCAGCTTCCTGGATGCCTTCCTCAAGGGCGACGACCGCGTCGGCTGGTCCATCAAGGGCAAAGTGCCGCCCGTCGACATGGTCCTGCGCAAGGGCGACGTTGGCTTCAATGACGCCAAAGCTGAGCAAGCCTACCCGCGCCGCACGGAGAACGAGTGGCCCATCGCCCGCACCAAATGGACAAACTTCTACCTGACCTCGGACCAGCAGCTGACGCGCCTGGAGCCCCTACACACGCCGCCCAAGAAGCTGTCCTACCGCGCGCTCGGCACCATCGACGACCCGTCCCTGGTGCAATTCACGACGCCGCCCTTCGACGAGGAGACGGAGATCACGGGCAACGTCCTCGCGCACCTCAACGTCGCGGTCAGCGCCGACGCCTCGGGGCCGACGCCCAGCGACATCGACCTGTTCGTCACCCTGCGCCACCTCTCGCCCGAGGGAAAAGAAGTCTTCTACACGGGCACCGCGGGCGACCCGGTCCCGCTCACCAAGGGCTGGCTGCGCATCTCGATGCGCAAGACCAACCCGGAACACGCCAAGCACCGCCCGCATCTGCCGTGGCGCGAGTATCTCAGCACCGACCGCCTGCCCGTCATCCCGGGCGAGGTGTACGGCGTCGACGTCGAGGTGTGGCCGACAAACGTTGTCGTCGAGAAGGGCGGCCGGCTGGTGTTCGAGGTCGCGAGCGGCGACACGCAGGGCAGCGGCATCTTTTTGCACTCGCATCCGGTGGATCGGAGTGAGGAGAAGCTGAGGGGCGTGAACCATATCGTGTTTGGGCCGAAGTATAGCAATTATGTTACCTTGCCGGTCATTCCGCCCAAGTTTGGGGCATGAGGAGAGGGGATGGGTGTAGTAGAGACCATTAGAGCTTGAATGACCATGGAGGACTGTTACTCGAAACTGAAAGTTGCTGATGATTGGGGGGGATAGCTGATGCCCCTCATTGTGCGGTCGTATGCTATTATAACACTTTCCTATACCATCATAGTAGGCTACGGAGTACTCAACCTTTTCCAATCGTGCCTTGTAGGAGTTTATTGTATATACATCTATGAAACAGTGATGGCTTTCCTTCGCCTCGGATTCCAATATATGGTGCCGCTTTAATGCATCCACTCTGGGCATGCATATAATAGTAGCATGGCCAATATTTGCTTTTGCAAACAAGGACCAAGATCCCGAGAGTAGTATCCTTCTTCCATCAGGCCTTCACCTCCACTTCTTCTCCTCCCTACAGGTCACAAACGAGTTGACCAGAATTCCTCGAATAAATCTCGCGCTGAAAACTACTTGCTTCAACTGCATACAGAACACCAACCTCAACAAAAACGACCCCCGCCTCGCTATACTGACCACGCAATCCCCTCGCACCGTCCGCGCTTCTCCCCAACCCAACATTCACCCGCATGCAAAACCCTCTCTCTTCTTCTTCTTCTTCTTCTTCTTCTTCTTCTTCCTCTTCCTTCCTCCTCCAACGCTCACCCCCTCCAATACGCCAACACCGACCTCGTCCCATACCACCCCAGAAGACCCAACCCCGACAGCAGCGGCACGGCCGTCATCCCCAGACCGAGCATGATGCCCTGCTCGAAGAAGCCGATGTTCTTCTTGTACGGGCGATCCGGCGGCAGCGCGCTCGTCGCCTCCCGCTTCAGCGACTGGAGCGCCTCGACGCCGTTGCCGCCGCCACCAGAGACGCTAGAGGATGCTGCCTGCAGGATGCCGGATAGGCGCGCGGATAGGGGTGAGGGCTTGGCGTATTGAGGGCGGGGGATGGTGAAGAGGTTGGGCGGGAAGCGGGTTGATGTGTCGAAGGGGGCCGTGGTGGTGGGGGCGGCGGGGCCGACTGTGTGGTGGTTGGTTGGTTGGTTAGTGGGAAGAGCTGGTGGCTGGGGAAAGAGTGAAGGGGAGGGGAGGGGGGTTGCCTTACCGAGGAGGTCGAGGGGGAAGTGGTTGGCGAAGGAGAGGTGGGCGGCGGTGAACTGGCTCATGTACTTGCAGGAGGCGGGGTCGGCGAAGAAGTAGGTCGCGATTAGGGGAGGAGAATTGCCGGCGGCAGCGGCGATCCTGGCACTGCAGGTCAGACGGCGTTGTACTGAAGCATCGGAGATTTTGTTGCATAAGCGCTTACCTGTTCGTCAGGTCGATACCGTCGTCCAGGCTGGTGGTAGCATGCACGACCAGGCAGCGCTCGCCGATCTTCCTGCCTAATGCGGCCGATTCCCTGATGCAGGCCGTATAGTCAGCGCATGACCGCACCTGCCTTATTCATGTCAGGGGATATCACTCACCTCTTCTCCACGTCCAAAATCGCCCCGTTCGACCCCGCCGTCACAACCCTCACCCCCGCCTCGTTCTTCAGCTCCTCCACCGTACTCTGCTGGCCGCCCTTTCTCCCACCACCACCACCACCACCCAGCTTCCCATTCGCCGCCGTCCCGTTGCTCTTCTCCCCCACCGCCATGTACCTGATACTCTCCTGCACCACAGCATTCAGAAACGCCTCCTTGGCGAACTCGTTGACTAGCACCACGTCGGGCGCGTACGGCGATCTGCCACCGAAGCCGAAGCGCGCCGTCACGAGCGCCTTGGCCGCGGCGCCCAGGTCGGCAGTGCGTTCGACGATGGCGACGGCGAGCGCCGAGGTGGGCGAGGCGATCAGGGAAGTGGAGGGAGCAACACCGCTCTCCTCACTGCTGCTGCCATTCTGCAGCACGGAGATGACGTTAATTGGCGGCGCGGTGAAGAAGGATGAAGGCGGCCGGGTGGGAACGAGGGCGAAGACGTCGGCGTCGAGGGCTGCGGTGAGGATTTGCCGGAGGATGGACGGGACCGATTGGAGTGTTGTCTCGAGCTGCACGACGACGCAGTTGCCCGCCGTGATGGCGGAAGCCAGGGGCACGATGACGGAGTAGAAGAGCGTGTGCGACGACTGCGGCTCGATGTATACGATGCCCACGGGGTCGCGCTTGTCGGCCGCGTCCTTGCCGTGGGCGATGCAGTATTCGCGCTCGAGCTCGTGCTCTGGGTTCAGAGAGGAGAAGTGCTGCTTTACGGCGGCGAGGGCCAGGTAGAACTCGGTCTTCGCCTCGGCGAGCGTGTTGCCTGAGTCTTTGGTCGTTGCTTCCAGGACAGCGGCCTCGTGCGACACCAGCGTGCTGTGCAGACTGCGCAGCTGGTCTTGCCGCCAGTAGATGTTGTGCAGCCGGCCGTCAATTGCGGTGGAGCGGACATTGGCGAGCGCTCGGCTTGCGTCGTCGTTCATGGTGGATGTGTGGATACAGATATTGTATGTTCCTCTTCCCCTCCTTGCTCTTTCTGTGCTGATAGTCGTTTGTGAATCCCCTCAAATTCTAAAAGTGTTGCGAATGGCTGGAAATGGAAGGGGTGATGCGGGCGGAGACTAAATCATCAGCAATGCAGCCCGACAACGCGTGAGAGGAGAATTGGTGGATATTCCGGGAGGAATGGCTGCTTATTTTTCGAGTTGCACGCGCGGACCTTGTCTCACATGCAGGGCCCGTGGGATCACTTTGGTGGACGGGCCAAGAAGGAGGGGGTCCGGCACCAAGGGCGCCACAACAGGTGCCCGGAGTGGATGTGGTGCTCCCCCCCCACATCCCGACACTGTGGGGTAAGCTAGGGGGAGCTGATGAGCGACTCCGCCCCATCCCAGCCATGACTTATTCTTGGCTCACTAACTCCGGAGACTTGGTGGCTTCTGCTGTAGTTTCCGTGCAGGGCCGAGGCCGAGCTCCGGGTTCATCTTGCTGTTGTCGCCTTCCGCTGTCAGCTCCCCACCCGAGAAATCACTTGCGGCGCGCTGCAGCAAACCCACCTGTCCACCTCTGAAAATACGATATCCAAAACACATTTGGCGCAAGGTAACTTACCTTCAGCACCGATTTTCTCTTTTATTCCTCCCAGCGACACCCAGCGTACCCGTACCACCACCATGTCTGTCACCACCACCGCGAACGAAACCTACTACAACACCGTCAACGTCCTCGCCGACTACGAACTCCACCACTCTCGATCCTCCCCTTCGAACACCGCACCGCCACCCAATCCCAATCCGAACCCGGCAGCAGCGCAAGAGAACCCGGACAACTGGCCCACCGATCGCCGGCGCATCCCTCACTATCGCCCAGTCCAGCCCGACCTGGACCTGAGCCAGAGGAGGGTTTATCTCAACCCGGCGGAACGCGTTTTTGTGACGGTCATGTTCATAGGCGTCTGGGCGAACGGGGTGAGTGAATGGGAATTTCCCTCATTTCTTGGAGAGGAAAGGAAGCAGGGAAATATACTGATGTTTTCCAACCGGACAGAGTGCAGCGCAACTTTGGAGGAAGACGGGTGGAAGGTTGTGGAATATTCAGTATCCTATCGGGGGTGAGTTCTGAGGGCGGAGAGATATGCTTGTGAGAGGCAGTTCATGATGATGGTGGGAAGAAGAAGAGACGAAGGGTATGGGGCGTAATTCATGGAGGCAATCTGCGTGCTATCTAGTTGAGAATATTTTATTCAAGTTGTCGTGTTCCCTGGAGACTTCCATGGAGCACCAACCTTGCGTGTCGGAGCCTCTATTGAGGCATTGCTGAATGATGACCTTTTTCCTTTCTTTCTTGGACTTGCGAGAAATGATCGAGCACGGAAAATCAGATCAAGCCGGAAATCATTGCTGAAACCACTTTGGTAGTCCCTTCAGCCACGATACAAGAACAGTTTCAATCTATCACGAAAGCGAGCCTACGAACCTGCCTCTTTTCCATTAGCGCGGCTTCGCTAAATGTGCACCCATCAGTCGTTTCAGCTTGCGGCGGGCGTGGCAGCGGACGGCAGTCACGGAAAGAAGGAGACCACGCTACGGGACCGACGATCGGCACGGGCAATTAGTACAGTAGCGGGACAAGACATTCGGCCCCACGCATGCCACCACCAACGCGGCGCCAATGCTTGTGTCACTGCCCCGCGGCTGTTGCTTACGGTCCCAGACTTCAGCACTGATCTGCCCTCACAGCTCCGCAACTCCATGTGATAAGGAATAGCGCTCAGCTGTAAACTTCTCAAGTCCTCGCAGCTGCGATACCCTTTTCCAGAGATTAAGACGAGACAACCAGTCCTGGCTGACTCTGAACAATACCTACCCACCATGCCTGCAAATACCACGCCCGTGCACTTCTTCTCCCACGGCTCGACAATGATGCTGGGCGAGGAGTCGGACGCCGCGACCTACTGGAATAAGTGCGGCGACGACGCCCTCGCTCACGGCATCAAGGGCGTTATAATGATGGTGAGTGCTCGGAACAGCCGAATAAAAAAAATAAAAACAAAGACCCCTCCCCTACCAGAACCAAGGCAACAAAAAGACTCATACTCACACCCAAAAACCAGGGCGCCCACTGGGACGCCGACGGCGACCGCGTCGAAGTCGCCATGAACCCCGCGCCGACCAAATCCCCCGTCGCCTTCGTCCACCCGGACAAGTACCAACACTACGCGCTGAACCCGGACCTCGCCACGGGCCAGCGCTGCATCTCGCTGCTGCGCGCGGCCGGCTTCGCCGCGACGGGCAACCCATCCTTCGACTGGATCCACGACACGTACCTCGTCCTGATCCGCATGTTTCCCGGCGGGTGCCCGCCGACGACGCTGGTGTCGATGAACGCGCGCTTCGACCCGCACTACCACGTCAAGGTCGGGGCGGCGCTGCGGCCGCTGCGCAGCGAAGGCTACCTGCTCGTCGGCAGCGGCGGCGCCGTGCACAACCTCTACCGCAACGAGTGGGCGCCCATGGTCAAGTACTCGGACAACTTCGCGCAGCCGACGCCGCCCGAGGCGTGGGCCCTCGATTTCCGCCAGAGCGTCGAGGACGTCTTTAGGAATAATAGCGGCCCGCAGCTGCGGCGCGCGCTGACGCGGCTGATGAAGCATCCGCAGTATCGCGACGCGCAGGGCACTGACGACCATTTCATGGCGTTGATGTTTGTCGCCGGCGCGGCCGGGGATGAGGAGGATAGGGGCCAGTATGGGAGGTTGATGGCTGAGACGTGGGAGTTGACGAATATGTGAGTTGTTTCTTGTTCGACTCCGGGCTCGTTTGATGGAGGTGCTGATTTTTTCTTTTTCCCTTCATCTCTACAGGGCAAATTCGCAGTTTACGATTGGGACGTGGCCGGGTGAGGTTGCAGCCTCGGCCTGAGGTGCCTTAGGAGGTGAGTGAGAAAAGGTTCCGCATTACGAAAGGGAATCAGGAGATTGCTGACTGGCATGTAAGGAAAGATCTCTCTTCGTTAAGCTGCGAGAAAGCGAATTTGGGATTTTCATCCGTGTCCCTAGTATCTGTAAAGCGTTGATGCCACGACCAGTTGACTTGTAAGAACTGTGTTGGAAACTAGCAATATCCTCTCTCGATTGATGCTCCATAATTTTTTGGAAACTGGGAATGTTGACCATCTTGATCCACTCCTACTATGCGAAAGCTGAAGTCCGTCAAACTATATGTGTACATATAAACCCATCTAATTGAACGCCGTGCCCTAGGTTAACTCCATTGAAACCCTCGATTCATTTGCCCTTGATCTGCGCTGCAGATTAACGCAGAGGCAACTGCTGATTCTGAAGAATGAAGATAATTAAGATTCGTGTCCCCATGAAACCGCGCACGCTGAGCCAAGTTTGACGCTCAGACCGTTGAGATAAAGCGAGCGTGTCAATGAAATGTAAGTTGCGAAGTCGGAGGCCGTCTGCTCCTTCTGATCATACGTTGTAAAGAACTCCATCACTCTTTACCTCGACCTCAAGCATGGTATTGGAGTCGATACGGGAGATCATGAAATTGCGGACAAAAGAACTGCCGATGATGATGGTGATGTAGATAAGAGCAGCGGGAATAGCGATAACTGTTGCATAACTTGCAAGGCGGAGGGTCCACGGTGTGATGACCAAATGCGTTGAACTGATAATGCTGAAGAGGTTGGTGCTGGGCGCAGAGCCAAGCATGCCAACAGCCCCAATTCCTGATGCTGCGGCCGCCGCGAGGATTAAACTGGCGCGACTGAGTAGTATAATGAAGAATGAAAGACCGACGTAGGTTGCAACTGTATTTCCGAGGCCGCCGAACGTCATTTCGGCGAGCTTGTGGGATTGCTCCTCGATAATATCATGGTGACTTGCAAGGCTTGTCTCAATGTTCAGCTGGTTCTGCATAATACGGCTTTGGGCCTTTCACAGGCTGTCAGTCATCGGTCCAGTATGTGTAGCGTGGGCCAAATAACATACCTCTTGAAAGGTCTGCTGGTCCTCCAAGGCCTGCTGTTGTGTGTTCAAATAATGGATCTTAACACGTCAGCACCACTCTTCTGCTATCGCCCATGTCTAACGTACCACTGCTGCCTCAATACTTCGGAGACGCTCCGCAAGCGCATGTACTGTGACATCTCTGACGTTCTCAAGCGAGGCCTGGACGTCTGAGGCAAGGGCCTGGTTGCCCTTCACTGCAAGGTCTTGCGCGGCGCTGCGTTCCTTGTCGTGAAGAACAGCTTCCTTGTGAAGTTCTTGAAGTGTAGTCCGAGCCTGTTCGAGCTCCTCATTGGCGGCTTTGATGTTCTGTATTAAGTTAGATATGTTGACGTGTGGGAAGGCTGAAAGACTTACGCCACTCAAGTTTTGGGTTTCCGCAGTCGCAGTCTTGAGTGAACGACCGAACACATCAAGGAGTGCCCCGGTAGCGTAGTCAAACTTGTCCACCAATTTGGTAATGATACTGTCTGTTTGAACCAACGCGGCCTCGTTGCGTGCAGCTATGTCATGTTGGAATTGCCGAACTGTTTCGGTGAATTTGTGATGTTGTGCGAGGCGATCCTCCGTCTCTTGTACAGCGCGCGAGAGCACTTCGGATACCTTGGCCTGGGATTGGAAAGCTTCCTGAAGTTTCTGGAGGTGCTCCTCTGCGCTCAAATTAGGTACAAATGGGTATCACACCAAAGTAAGATCAAAAAAAGAAGGAAAAGTCAGTTGCACGCAATACTTACCGTTCTCCACAGCGCCGCGGCTTGCTTGGCAGATGACAATGGCATTAGTTTGAGCATTGCTGAAGCTCGTCCAACGTTGTGCTTGGACAAAGAGTGTATCAACACATTGTCTCAGTTCGTGGGGCGTGAATTCCGGATAACAGGCGCGTTTGGGTTCGTCCTGACTGGGAATGTTCTTCTTCCGGAAGAAACCTTTGCGGTTGATCCTGGGACAGGCCTGGCGGGATGGAGCAAATGGCGTGCATTCTCTTGGAATGCCAGACTTGATACCCTGGAGCTCACAGACAGCCAATTTGGCAGCATATTCCTGCCTCACCTGGTCGAGGGGATTTTCTGCTGGCCGGGTAGTGTCCTGATCTGGCAAGGAGCTAAACGATTGACATGAGTCGATTAGAGAAGAGGTGGCGAGTTGATGGCAAGCTGGCGACGATTCAATGTCCCGAATCTGCTTCCAAGCAATCTCGAAGACGTGAGCGTCGTGAAACGGAGCACGGCGGAGCATGGAGCTCAGATCATCCTGGGGGCGGGTGTCCAAAGGCCCAAGAGAGGCTATTTCAACCTGGGACGATGTAGCTCCGAGGACGGCATATGAGAAGAGGCTTGAGACTAGAAGCACCCATGCAAGGGCGTTGAAGAGAGTTCTGCAGAGCATGGCACCTTCTAGTAGTAGGTGATGTCTGGGACGGGCTCTAGTGAGATGTTGCGAGGTGCGACGTCACTCAGCCAGTGTCGACCGATGCTGGAATAAGTGGACGATCAGAGCCGCAGCCTTCAGTTTGCAAGATGTTGGATCCTGCTCCGAAGCGGACAAGGCGCTGTCGAGGCCGAGAAATGTCGCGTCGAGAGCAGCGACGGTGTTGTAGCTGTCGTTGGAGCTCGAGCGCGCTGAAGTGTAGTCAAAGGTCTTCCATACGTCTGTTGACCTGATGTGAGAGCCGGTCACCTCCAAGATCTCGTCCGCGTGCAGCTGCTGGGGTTTTGCGGTCAGATGGACAGAGAACGCGTGCACGAAGGGAAAGTGCGGACTTGACGCGTCATGGGACGAAATGTAGCGACGCGCTCGTGGCACGATGCACGTGATGTCGGCGAAGTGTCGGCCGATGATCCGATGAGCGACAGGCAAGAACCAAAGCATCGCAGCGGCCTACGACTACGCGGCAGACCCCCGACATGTTTTCCACCGCGAGACGGCGCTGCCTGCAAGGCGCAAGCGCGACCCTCAAATCCTCCTCCTCGAACCAGTCACCCGCTCCGGCCGCCATCCACTCCCCATCCTCCGCTCACCGCGCTTTCAGCACTTCGAACGTGCACCAGTCGAAGATTGGTCGCGCGCCATTGTCATTACCTTCGGAAGTCCAATTCGAAGTCATTCCGGCAGTCAAGACAAGGGGCGGCAGGGTCTCCACCCGAAATGAGCAGGGTGCAACTGTCCGTGTGAAGGGGCCGCTGGGGGAGATGTCATACACCGTCCCGCCGTTTGTGGAAATTGTGCGCGAGACGCCCGATGCGCAGCCTATAGTGAAGGTTTTGAATGCGGAGGAGAAAAAGCAGCGTGAGATGTGGGGTACGTTTTCCAATGGCATGGAGGGAAGGTTGAATACAAAGGACTAACAACGCTGGGTCAGGCACGGTCCGCGTATACCTTCAAAATCACATTCTCGGCGTGTCGGAAGGCCACACTGCAATTCTGCGCCTTGTTGGCGTTGGTTACCGTGCCACAATCGAGAAGTCTGCGACGACTGTGGAGTCTGAGTACGAGGGCCAACAATTCGTCAACCTAAAGGTTGGCTTCTCACATCCAGTCGAGCTGGGGATTCCGAAGGGCGTGAAGGCAAGCACACCACAGCCAACCCGTTTGTTACTGGAGGGTGCAGACAAAGTGGCTGTGATGTCTTTCGCAGCTAAAATCAGGGCATGGAGGGTGCCTGAGCCGTACAAGGGCAAGGGCATATTCGTCAATGACGAAGAAATTAAGCTCAAGTCGAAGAAGATCAAATAGATGATGGCGTGGGTGGCACACATGTTCTGGGAGCTGTACAGCAACTGTACTTTTATTTTTACGGAGGGTATCCTTGGCACCTTTTGGTTTGGCCAAAAAAAAAGCCGGGCTCTATCCTGGCACATATACAGCATTCAAACTTGTTCAAGTAGACTTCGCAGCAAGAACCTCCTTCACAACGTTCAGGACCTTCTCGTGAACAGCCTTTGGTGCAGCGACGACACCCGAGTTGTCCCTGAGAGTCCTGCCAATGCTGAAGTCGAGTCTCTTGCCATTGGCGTCGGTGACCGAACCGCCGGCCTCCCGAACAATGAGATCACCCGCTGCGTGATCCCAAATCTTCTCCTCGTAACCCTTCTTTACCGGCAGACGGAGGTAAATGTCACCGGCACCGCGAGCAATAGAGGCGTACTTCGCCTGAGAGTCCATGCGGACGCTATCCTTGGTGATGCCCAGCTTCTGAGCAATCTGGGCCTGATCGCTGTGCGAGGAGTGGCCGGCTTCAACACTTTCGCAGAAAGTGGCCTGAGTGATGTCCGTGATCGGCTTCATCGAAATCGGACGGCTAGGCTGGAGCGCACCCTCGCTCAGAGGACGGGAAACTGCGCCCTGGCCCTCAATGGCGCTGAAGAGGACGCCGCGGCCCTCACCCTTCTGGTCCTCGCCGATGCCAGCATCTAAGGGGGCCGCGTCATCAACGGGCAGGTTCGGGCAGCCAAGGACACCGACCTTGACCTGACCGTCTACCATCAGGGCAAGACAGACAGCGTACTGGCCGCCTCTCAGGAAGCCCTTGGTGCCGTCAATGGGGTCCAATGCCCAGATCCTGCCCTTGGAACCGCCGGTGCTCCGGCCGAGGTCAATGGAGTCGCACATGGCAGTGTCGCTGGTGAGAGGACCGCCCAGCAGCTTCTCGGAAGCATCGTCACCGAGCTTCGACTTCTGGACCAACTCCCAGATCTGCGAGCGCAGCTCGTTGTTCTCCCTGAGTTCGGTGGCCTCCTCCTCGCCGACAATCTCGTCGTCTGGGAAGTTCGCGTGGATGGCGGAGATGATGAGCGCCTGGGCGCCGAAGTCGCCGATAGTAACGGGGGACTTGTCGTCCTTGGAGACGGTGCCCTTGGCCTTCTCCTGGAAGACGCGCTTGGTGAGGAGAACAGCGCGCTGAACGGCAAGTTCAGCGACCTGGAGCTCTTTGGCGTAGGACATGGTGGCGTTGGTGAATGGAGCGGGTTTGAGGATTTGGGTCGTTAGATGGCGGGAGAAGAGAGTGAGGCGTGAGGAGAAGACAGCAAGAGTGCTCAGCGCCAGGATGAAAGCAGAGAAGAGAAAAAGGTACGGGTGGTGCAGTCCCCTCATTTACCTGGCCTGTTTCTTAGTGGGGCAGGTCCTGGAGCTGACGCGGGCAGGCACGCCGCCGCGACCGTGTCCGCCTGCGGGCTGCCCGCCTCGAAACCGCCGATTCGCCGATCGACATACCAGGCACACAGGAACGCCAGGCTGTCAGGCAGCTCAGATGCTGTGTGTAACCGCTTGCAACTGTGATTCTGCCAAGCCAGCGCATCCGCTCGAAAGCTGCACGTCCTTTCCCGCCGGCATCGACAAAGCGGTGTCCGCCCGCGTACGGGTCGCCTAGCAACCCGCAACCCAAACAGATCAGCTCCCACCTGCACCCCCCAGCTCCAGCCATGACCGCCCTCACCACGTCGAAGCGGAAATTCAACAAAATCCTAGAGAACATCAGCGCCAGCTCTTCCACAACCAGTCTGGCCTCTCTTTCGAAGAAGAATGCTTCAGTCATGTCCGTTGCCGCAGTCCAGAACGAGCCTCCCTCGAAGCGCAACCGCAAGTCCCTGAGTGGCGACTCTCTCACCTCCGTCGAGGGTGACCGCCCCGAAACCGCTGCAAGCGCATCCTCTCAATTCAACCCGTCGGCAAGCAGTCTGTCTTTGGCACAACGCGCGAAGAGCATACGTATGATCAAGAAGGACAAAGAGAAGGAGAGTGCCGATCCCAAGAAGGCTCCCAACTACACACCATGGAGTCACGAGCACTTCGTTGAACGCATGAAGACTTTCTCCGATGTGATGCGCTGGGGACCGAAACCGGACAAACTGAATGAGGTCGAGTGGGCGAAGAGGGGTTGGGTCTGCGAGAATCTTAACACTGTTGCGTGCAAGGGAGGTTGTGAGAAGAGGCTTGTCATCAAGTTGGAGCCCAAGGAGAAGGACACTGAGAAGAAGGATACGGAAGGAGCTGGCTTGGACGCCAGGCTGGAAGAGCTGCTGGCCGGAGATTTGGATGAAGCTCTGGTTGACCGGTACGCCAAGCTCATGGTAGAAGGCCACGATGAAGGCTGCCTGTGGCGTAGGGCCGGCTGTAAGGGTACGTTGCTCGCCACGATGAGACTTCCGAAGCCATACTGATTGCCGAACCCTGACAGAGGACATCTACCATGTGCCCATGGTCAGCTACGAGGACCACGTCAAGCCCGGCCTCCTCGACCGTCACAAATCCCTGCTGAACATTCGCTACAAACTGCCGCCTCTTGAGAACCTCAAGTATCCTGGCACGAGCCCTGACAGACTCGAGAAGGCGTTGCCAGAAGAGCTCACTCAGCCTCTCGAGTCCGAGAACGTCGAGGCTGCACCGCCCTCTGACAGCACCGACCAGAAGGATATCGAGAAGCGCACTCAGCTCTTTGCTCTCTACGGCTGGTATGGCGAGGATCGTGGAAAATACTCAATCGTCTTCTGCCACGAGTGTCACCAGCGTGTGGGGCTTTGGATGTATTTGGGTGAGGACGCCAAGCTCGATCTTATCGAGACCCATCGTGTCCATTGCCCATGGCTCAATCCCGATTCTCAAGGCGGCCGACCGATTTGGGAACAGTTACAGAAGCGCTTGCTGAACCGTATCCGGGAGACGGCCAGCTCCATCTTTACCACGCAGTCATCCGAACCGCAGGACCTCGGAGATACCAGACCACCCAGCTCTGCTGCTGACTCTGAGCAAGCAGACAAGAAGAGGATGGGCAGGCTGAGGAAGGCTATGAAGTCGTTTGGCGGAAGGAAGAAGAAATAAGGGTTTGGACGGTGGCTGCCCTACTTCTGTCCTTTCCCGCCTTTCTAGATCGTCAAAGGTGATTCTTGCTCGCGTCTTGTGGTGCCTTCAGCCAAGCCCGCAAGGCGAGCATGGCCTCATCAGGTTATCAATTCTTGTGGAAGTTGGGGTCTGACATTCATGTAATTTATTAATTGTAACAAGATACCCGGGGAGCGATTGATGAAAATTGATTGGATGCAACGAAGCACCCCGTATCCTCGTGAGTTTCAAGAATCACATACATGTTGACGACCCATGAACTGCGCTCTTGTGCTGTGAGCAGTGTTCAGATCACTCTATATTTCTGTCACTTGTCCAGCAGAAGAGAAGCAGTCCGGTAGGGGACTAAGCGACGTCACTTTGGTTAACGCATCTGGGAAAGGTATTGCTCTGCCCTAAATGATCTGCGAGATCCGAGCAGGAATGAGCCGCCGGACCGGTCTTCACTTTTACCAATCGCCCTTACCGTCCGTCCCGCCGGCCTCCCGTTTGTCTCAGCCTGCGGAAGATCGCTCAGTAATCTCCACACGCATATGGATCCGACCTGACGGATGGGCCCACTGTCCTGGCTTTCCAATACAGAAGATCGTCCTAAATTAAACCGTCCGAGCTCCTTCCTTCAGACCGCGATATCACGTGTTCCAGGCTGCGGGTCATCAAAGGCCCGGACGCGAGCCGCTACTGATTACAACCTTGTTCCCTGCTGTGCCCACGTGCCAGCTACAGGGGCCTGTTTGGGGTTGGGTCGGGGAGAGAATGCAACACTTCACTGGAATGAGGTGCTGGCTGAACACCAACAACAGCCTGAGCGGCCTACACTTCGAGTCCAGCAGCCACTTGGATCGTAGGGCAACATGATGCGTGCGAAGGCCGAAGCGAACTCGACACCATCGCCGAAATGCCGCAGACGCAAGTCCCCTACCGCTACAAACGTTTGACCTCGACAGCCACGACGCGGCTGGTTCAGATCCAGCCATCCACTGCATCCGGATCCGGCATCGTCGTGGACATCATCGAGGCGTTCCCGGGCGGGCGCGTCGAGTACGATGCTCTGTCCTACACCTGGGGCACGGCCGCCCCGGACAAGCCCATCGTGGTCAACAACGACCGGCGTCTCCTGGTCACGGACAACCTGGCCCGGGCGATGCGGCGCTTCCGGCACCCGGCGGAAACGGTGTCGCTCTGGATCGACCAGCTCTGCATCGACCAGAGCAACGACCGGGAGCGCAGCCGCCAGGTGGCCATGATGGGCACGATCTACCGGTCCGCGCGCAAGGTCATCGTCTGGCTTGGGGAGGGCGACGACGGGCCGGCCCAGCTCAGCAACATCAGGCCGGGCCTGCGCCTCGCCGGCCAGATCCTCGAGAAGCTGCGCGAGGACCCCGGCCTCAAGTTCGACTGGAGCACGTCGTTCGGGAGCGCCGGCGCCGGCTTCCTGCCACGCGCTGGCAACAAGCCCTGGCAGGCGCTCGCCGCCATCCTCCGCCGTCCGTGGTTCGGCCGCATGTGGGTCATCCAGGAGGTGGTCCTGTCGTCCAGCATAGAGGTCTACTGCGGGAGGGAAATGTTCACGTGGGAAGAGGTGGGCAAGATTGTCGACTATCTGGACTGCGACGAGTACCGGGCGTACAACATCCGCAACTCCGAGCTGGTGACCGAGCTGCCCTTCTCGCGCATCAACCGCATCAAGAAGCAGCACGAGCGGGGCATCCGACCCGACCTGTTCGAGCTGATGCTGGCATGTCGGCACTTTGGCGCGACGGATGAGCGGGATAAGATATACGCGTTGCTAGAGCTCGGCCACCACGACATTACTCCCGACTACAGCATGACGCCAAGAGACGTATTTGTAGACTTCGCAGCCCGGACGGTCAGGATGGCGCAGCAGCCGAGACATTGCTGCGGTTACGGCGCCGAGAACCCGCATCACTTTGAGTGTTGTGCTGACGGCTTGCAAGACCGGGACAAGTATCTCCGGATCATGACCATGTTGTGCTGCGCCGGCGCCTCCAATCAGCGGCAGCCGCTGCACGGCAGCGAGAGGCTCCCGTCCTGGGTTCCAGACTGGACGCAGCCCCTGCAAGTGCGACCCTTTTGCTTCTGGGGCTCAAAGACCTTCGCAGCCGGCGACAGCGAGTACGGAGAGATACGCGTGCACGAGGGCAATGCACGACTGTCCATCACGGGAAAGCTCCTCGACACGATACGAGCCGCAGGCAGCGTGAACCTGAACCTCACCGCCAATATCGCCGACGCGAAGGCGGAACGGGAACTGATCGCGCAGTGGTACGCCGACTGCGACCGCGTCGTCGCGCAGAGCCACTTCCCGTACCCGGTGACGGGCCAGGCGCCGGGGGTGGTGCTGAAGAAGATATTCGAGCACAACGCCATCAGCTCGACGCCGCCGACGGCGACGGCGACGGCGCCAGCGCCAGCACACGACGCGCACCAACACCGACGCCCGCAGCACCAGCAGAGACGCTCGTCGGGCAACCTGATCGACGATCTCGCCAGCCCTCGGAATCTCCTCCCGGACCACCACTACGAGTCGACGATGGGGGTCGCCGTCGGCCGCGTGCTCTTCCTGACGACTGCAGGCTACATGGGTCTGGCGCCGCACGGCACCCGCCACGGCGACGTGGTCTTCGTCATGCTGGGCTGCGACATCCCGTTCGTCCTGCGGCCGGCCGGCTCCGGAAACGATGGTAGCGGCGGCGGCGGCGACTATGTGCTGCTCGGCGAATGCTTCGTGTACAAGGCCATGAGCGGCGAGGCGATGCGCGACGACAGCAAAGCGGTCCAGGATGTTACCATCATATGACCCGACGACCAATCCGGCGTTAGCTTACGGGCGAGAGCCTCAGCTCAACCGCTGCGCCGCATCAACGGGAAGATAGTGACGAACAAAAGGGCAATAGCGCGATCAACTCGGCAACATGAACGGAAGGATCCACTCTGGGGGCATCGAAAATACTTTTTTTCTTTTCGCTTTCTTGGTTCCCACGATGCAGGGACTAGGAGGGTTGATGGATGGTTAGGGTCGCGCTCGGAAATGCGCGGCGTGTGCATGTCAAGGATGTGTGATGAGAATTGCTGTATGTCGCGCATGGCCCACAAGGCACATGAGCATTCCCGGATGCTGGGGACGAAGGAAGAAAAAAAAAAGCGTTGAGAAGATCCACAATTGCGGCTCTTGCGCAAGCTATCACGATCAGCGTGCGAAATTCTGACAGTAGGTTGATTTTGTATTGCCGAATGTCTGTTCATCCTTGCCTCATCCTTTTTAATTTCTCTCCATCACACCATGCGGCTCAGCCTCATCGTAGGACAATTGAGCAAAGACCGTCGACGCGTGGGCGCTGTCCTGTGTCAGAGCCAGAGCGACGCTAGACACGGCCGCTCACTGCCGGGATCACGCTGCCTAGCGACGTGGCAGTGTGACGGGCAAGGTCGAGTACCACAGCAACGACGGACGAGCAGCGAAAAGGCCCACCTTTCCTCCAGCACTGTTGTGCCCGTCGTCCGAAAGCAATTTGTGAAAACGGCGTATACTCCCCCCCAGCGCATATGGGATAACGAAAGCTGGAGAGCAATGGTGGAGACCGCCAATTGGCTTGTTCTCTGGTGGTCCATGTTAGGCCGGCATATGACAGCGAGATTTGCGGATAAGCAGGCGCACGCCACGGTATGGATCGCTGGGACGGCTTGTTTGGCGGCTCCAAGATAACTACTGATCACTTTTGCCATGGCTGGAATGGATGCGCAGGGGGCAGAACCAGCGGTGCTTTGACCCGCTTTCTGCCAGATATCTCCGCACAACGTTTCCGGAGGCAATCAGGCAGGAATGGCCAGCAGCGGAACACGGCCTTTTCCGCCAAGGGCTGTGTTCCTGTGAGGGGCACGATCGACGACGACCACCCACAGTTTGGACGATGCAGGAATGAGCCACGGGCGGCGAGAAACCGAGGGGCATTGTAGCGCTGTGAATAGACAGCGCTCGGTGGAATTTTTGTTTTCTTTTACTTCGTCTATGGCCACGACAGGACTAAACATCACGATGATGTTGTTAGCGTCGGGTAAGAAGGCGGTGGTGGTTGGCGCTGATCTGTGCTCGGTATCTGCTGGCTCTGCCAGTGCCGGCGGAGGGTGGAAGTCCTCGCACAACTGAAGTGCTCACAGCCTTGCTTGCGCGGCGACATCGCTGAGCAGTAGTCGTGAACGACGACTTGGGTAATGAGACGAGAGAAAGGGTCGATTGAAAGGCGTGCGTTGCGAAGCTGCGGCCACTGATTGCTGGAAGGCTGCCGTCGGAGACAGCACCGGAGCTGACTGTTCGAACGGCAAACGGCTGCGGCGCGCTTCGAAGCGTTTCGCTGCCGGGCCTGCAAAGGCGGAGATTCTGTCTGAGGAACAGTCCGTTTTAGCCTCGCACGTGATCGTGCCGCGTCTCGCTTGCCGCCGCTCATCGACAAGGGGCCTGAGTCAGGCGCATGCAGCGCACTTCTCCATCACGTCGTAGCACCCTAAGCCGCCCGCCGCGAACCAGCACAGCGCTCCGAGAAGCTTCCTACTTTGCTCTGTTTAGCCGCGCCTCCTTTCTCGCCTTGGCTCTGCCCAGCTGCCACCGCAACGGCCAGCGCAGAGCCACGCCGTGCCCGCTGCGTCTCGCAGAGCCGTCTCGCCTTCGCCCGCTGTGCGCCTGTGCGCTCCAGACGTCCGCCGTGCTGCTCTGCTCCCTTCCCTACTCGCAAGTCGGCGGCTCGATCAATCGACGTCTTGCCACCGACATATGCTGCTGCTGCAGGGTGCCCCAACACACCCAGACCTCCCAATGCTTCACCGCCTCTCAATTGCCGCAGCAACGAGGACAAGCGGCGCCATTGTGCGACGAAGCCGGCAACCTTAAAACAGGAAAGCTGCCCACACGAGACGCATCCGCAAGCTATGGGGGCCCTGTGTAAGGGCCCTGACCGGCGGCACTCGAGTGGCGCCGCATCTGCGTGAGTAATGTATGCCGTCAGGCAGTCGATCGACGAGAGTGGAGGCAAGTGGAGGGGAAGGGAAGGGGAGACGGACGAGCAGATGTGCGGGCAGCGAAGGAACTGAGGCGCGGCACCGGCGGACCAGCGAGCCATCGAGCCACGCGCATGAGCCGCCGTCTCGCTCTTCCGCCCATGGCAAAGATTCGTGTGTCCTCGTCTCATGCACGGCCGGGCGCTTCTTCCTGCGCTCGCCTGGTGGTGAGACAGTAGACGCCGTCGTTGAGAGTGGGGCTTGCGCGCCTCGAAAAGCCGACAAGTCCAGATGCCGGGCCGGGGGCGCAGAGGTGCTCTGGCGCGAGGCAGAGCTCACTCGTGGCTGCCATTCACTCGTCGTCGTGAGCACACGCCAGTCGGAGGGTGGAGGAGAGTGCGCTGGAGCGCTGTGGGTGGTCCATCAATGATCCTCACGATGTGACGAGGCAGCGCACATCCGCCGCTGTGGCGAAGCGCGGGCACCGAACGCCCCCCCAAGGTACGTAGTAGTAGGCACGAGCAGGAGCACAGGCGGGCACGAGCGCCAGGGCCAGCGCCAGCGCGGAGCAAGCGCGGAGCAAGGCGCGGCGCAACAACGCGTTATCCCAAGTGGAGCTCTGGTGCTGGGATGAACAAGGCCGGCAACAGACAAGAAAACGCGAGACATGGGCCGGCGCTGCGTCAGAGAGAGCCGATGACGACGGATGGGTCGCCAGCTTGTGCGTTTGTTGGTTGGGGCGGCGCCGCGGCCCAGGCGGATGCTCGCTGGGGAGCTGCCGGATCAACGCTGAGTGGTGACGATGGCAGCTGGCACGGCCGGCGACCACCAGCCCACAGCCAGCCTGCTCCTTCGGCTTCTCCGCGTCGCCGGAGCGCGGACGGCGAGGAAAAACGAACAACGGCATCATGTACGGCGAAAAGCGACGGCCTGGGGCGCGGTGCGGCGGCGTGCAAGGCGGTGAACACGCGCGCTCCCCACTCGCGCCGCTGCAGGGCGTGTGCTGCTTGCTGCTCTTGGTCAGACACGTGGATGGCGAGGGGAATGGGCCGACGGGCAGAGACGACTGTGCTCTGTGGTGGACTGCTGCCCGTCGGCGTGTCTGCAGGCTGGTGATCTGCACAGTACCTACGGCAGCCTGCCCTCAGCGCAGCGCGCCAATGGTCAATGGCCTGGCACTGTCTCGCCTTACACGATGATCGCGACATGCAGCCCAAGACGAGATGCTGCACCGCTGCTATTTCCCCAGCGCGCGCGCCCTCTGCTGTATATTGCTGCATATAACACCCACCGTTCACGTCACGCAGCGCGGTCCGTCCGCCGGCTGCCCCGAGCACCCCAGCGCTCAAGCCATGATGCTGTTGGACCTGCTGCTGATGACGATGACCGTGACCCCTCCCCCGCCAAGGGCAGGAGCCACACAGGCGCTGAGGCGCGCTACGAGCACTGCACGACACCGAGGCCGCTGGACGATGCTTTTGGCGCCCAGAACCTGACGATCTGCTGCCGACGCGAGTACGCGCCGGGGCAGGCAAGGCGGCGGCGGCAACAAATTACGCAGCGGCGCTGCGAACGACTCTGCGCCGCTCCGATTGGCTGCGCGACGCGCCTTCCACCTGCGACATCAGCGTGAGAGCCGCAGCCAAGCCAAGCCCCGACCTCGACGCGAGCAGAAGGCTGCGACGACGCCCGCCAGGATAACGTGCTTTGCCGCCGCCGCCCCTCTCCTTCACCGTGGCCGTTCGTTCCTACGCTCACGTCCTCTCAGCCCGGCGCTCTGGGCACCCACGCGTGCGCGCAACGGCATGCCCGGCCAATCGCACCGGCACCGCCGAGTCGCCCAATCCCAGCTGCAGCTACTCTTGCATGCAAAGCCTGCATTAGAGCCTGCATGACAAGCGCAGCCACTCAAAGACGTCGCCGGCCAGGCCAGCAACACAGGCCCGAAGAGCCCAGCCCAGAAGCCAGCGAGCAGCAGTGAGCGGGCAAGCCGGGCCCAGCAGCCCAGCGCCAGCTGCCCGCCTGCCACGACTTGCTCCCCCTCCCTCACCCCTCAGGTCTCTGTACGCGCCGCCCGATGCGCTGCTGTCATCGCCGCACCCGCGCTCACTCCCGCCTGCCGGTCTCCGTCTGCAATGGCCATCTGCCTGCGTCTTTCTCGCCCTCACTCCGCCCTCGCCCGCCGCTCTCCCATGTCCGTCAATTGCCCCAGACACCGCTCGCCGCGGGCAATTGGCGCAGCATGCCGCGATTGATGGCGTCAGCGCCCGTTTTGGGTCCCCGGTAGACGGACACAAAGAATCACATTACACAACAGCCACGCAGGCAAGGCTGGCTAGCTCGACCAGCTAGCCAGCAGCACGGAAACGAACGAACAGCACCCCTGCCCCGCTTCCGAGTCCGACCTACGATCAGCCCGGTCCAAAAAGCCTATCGGCGACCAGGCCACAGGTAGCATAAGGGAAAGTCGTCGGCAGCGTGAGGCGTGCTTTGCCATCAACTTCTTTTGGGGGAAAGAGCGGATCCGCGCCGCTTCTGGAACTCCCGCGTTGGCACACACCCCGGTAAAGGGCCAGCAAGCTTGTAGAAAGAGTGAACACGCAACCGGGGCCGCCCCCAATTTTCATCTCTCAAACTCTGCCTTTTCCACCGGCCCATTTGCCTCACAGCACTCGACACATTTGTACTACAACGCAAAACCTCACATGCCAGGCAGACAGAGACAAAAGACGAGCTGCGGGTCCGCTGGCTCCAGACCACGGGTCCCACTTCACCACCATGATCACTCGCCACGCCGCTCCGCTCGCT